CTTAATGCTTAATTCTCTATTATCAGTTTGGATACTGGCTGTGTCAAATTCTCTAATGACTGATTTCAATCTGTTTATCATAAGCAGTTGTGTTGTATAGCTCTTCAGATTTATTTGAACTAGATCTATACATGAGATTGCATGAGATCTGGTTTCAGAGTCAAGAATTCATCTGTCTATAAATTCACACACTTCTCATATAGAAAAGACTGCTCTATGAATCAAATAAATCTTGTCTGTTGCAACTATTATTACTTTCTTACTTTTATCTTTAAAGTCTTTCTTAGACTTATTAGGCTTTATATTCTTGTTAGATCTGCAGAATTTAGCTAAGTGGCCAGGTTTACTACAGATATAGCAGTTCCAGTTTTGTGGTGAACTCTTCTCTGAATTGAATTTGAAGTTTGTATTCTTATAAGATCTTTAAGAATCTGAGCTTGTTGTTGCATTTGTATTTAATCTTGTAGATCCATCTTTCTTCTTGTCTTTCTTAGAGATTTAGTGAAGAATATTCTTTAGTAAATCTTTCAAATTCTTTTCTGATAGATTTGTTCTGCTCTGGCATACCATATTAAATCAGTTCTGTATGAACTCTCTCCATCAAGGCATAATATTCATCTTCAAAATATCATATAGAGCATGGTCCAGTTGTTTGAACTCTAATCTCTCAAATTCTACATGAATTACTAGAAATCTCTCTATATAATTTCTTTCTGAGTCAGTAAACTGTAATGTTATTCTTATTAACTTTATATATAGGTTTTCCTACTGTATTTCAGATCTTTCTTGAAAGACTATCTTCACAGCTTTCCAGAGTTTGTAGACACTAAGACTATCTGATTTCTTAAAGTGTTCTCTGGCTTGTGCAGATATCATACTGTCAATTAGATCATGTAATTAATTATTCTGAACATTTCAGTATTGTGAAATCTTTAAGTGCTCTGGCTGTAGTGAAGTCTCTTGTCTTTCCAGAATAATTCTCTCAACATCTACTTGACAGGCTATCTTTAGAATAGCTTTGCTCCATGCTAGGTAGTTGCTGGCCCCAGACAGAGTTATAGACTTCTTCACCATCTTTATAATCTTCATGAATTGGGTGATTGCTCTGCTAATTCACATATTTATGTCTATAAGATTGCTAACATATTCTTCTAGTTTCTCATCAGAATCTATTTCTCAGTTCTCTTCTTCTTTTTCTTCTTATTAAGCTTCTTGCTTCAGGTTCTCCTGCACTGTTGCAGGCATGTTTGCAGCTTTCCTGGCCTGACAGAAGGTTTATTTGCTGTGCCAGCTGTTATATCATCTTCTGTTATCTTTGTATCATCTTCTGTTGATTTAGCATTATTCTGTGTAACATTTGAAGTTCACTCTCCTCTCTAGACTCCTGCTCATCATTTGGTGGGCTGCCTCTGAGCCTACTCAACCACTTAAGCTCAGTTTGGGGTGTAGGGAGGTTTATCAGAGCCTCTCAGTCAGGAGTTCAGTACTTCAGTTCATCCATACAGTTCACTATGGCTTTGGTGTTGCCAGGTGCTCAATTTGCTTGCTAGGTGCATTTAGCAGACATTTCACTCACTCTCTGGTCAGGTGCCAGAAAGCTACAGGGTTCAACTTACTCTTCAGCTCAGTGCTAGAAAGCTACAGGGGTTGCACATATAGAAGGTGTCTATCTCAACATACACTCTCTCTTATACTTATAAAACCTTGTTATCCACAAGAATAACTGTTCAGGATGTTGATTGTAAGCTTCAATATCCAATTAAGCTGTAAATCAATCTTATATGCTTGCTCTTCAGCACAAAGAGCTATAACCTGATGGAGGACTTATATGCTTGTCATTTGCTAAGCTACCTAAAGGGGAATCTCGGCTAATCTATGTGGGTCATGTGAGCGAAGTGCTAGTTGGATTACCTAACAGTTATCCATGACAGCCAATGGGAGATCAGCATCGCAGCCATCCAAACATTGACTTGGCTGGCCAATGTAGCACAAGGTCTCCCTTTCAATGAAAAGGATTATCATGAGAGCTGCTGATCGACAGGGAATGACTTGGACATGTGATAAACTTTGATATGATCCTACCGATCAACGCAAAGTTATCCTTTTGTCGTTACTACGTTGCGGCTATTGGCAATGGCGTCTGCATTGGCGAGAACTACGGAGTACTGTATTTCTGTCAATTTAGATTGCCTACATTATTTGAATCCGTCCTACTAGGTATTCGTCTTGCAACCTTTCGCTGAGGAAATCGACAGCTGGATTCCCCGCAGAGACATGCCTTGTCCAGCCGCTCCCAGTAGTGATCGGAGTAATCCACCGTGATTTCATTCCCAGCTAGTATGCCGCGGGAGACCACGATAATATGCTCTCTGCCGCGCCAATAAAATTTTTGAAACTGGCTGTTCGGATGACAGGAATGGTTGATGAAGCGGGTAAAGTTGCCTGCAAGAAGCGGTTAGTAGACATGGTGGATCATTTATTCCTACAAGACGTACCCATCTGCCCCTGAAAAATTTGATAACCCTGCATCTTCGAACCACCCGCCATTACATCTAGGCCCTCAATCCCGTTTGTTATGAATCCGACAAACTCCGCGATTGCAGCTCCCCTCTCGTGATCCTAGAGTGAGTCAGCATCCCGAAGTATGTGCGATAAGGTACTAGGAAGCTGACATACACAGCGAGCTATGACACCGTTGTTCTTGCCATTTGTAGTGTGAAAGATCTGAATGGGGACTGGCTTTCGAGGAGCCCCGAACAATGCAGGGAAACAAGCACATCGATTAAGCGTAGTATCGTCAGACTGAAGCTGTCCGCAGACTTGGCAAGTATTTTGGTCAATATCAGGTGTATATCGTGGATCGATGTCGCCAAAGAGGCTGCGATCAATAATGGACTCATCGATGAACTTAAACAAAAATTCTGCTTGGAGGTGACGATAGGTTGAGGTTATATGCTGAACCGATCTACTCGGCATTATAACCCACTCATGTGGATGTCCGTTGTAGAGAGCTACAGATCCTTGACCGATAACGTTGAGCAGCTCTCGCCATTTTGGATGCAGGGTGTCTGCTGCAAGTTCAACTGCCGATCTTATCTGTTGTAGTCTCAAAGCTAAACCATCGTCTATTCGTGTTCGATATTTGCAGAAGCGATATACGCCGGAGCTAGCAAAGACGAGGCTGGCCCAGCCACCAGCATCTTTGATTTCCTTGTAACCCCTCCAAATGGCCCTGCTCCTCGGTTATTGAGAGATACCTTCGAAAAGTTGTATATATATGGTGTGTGTAGAGGGAGAGAGTGTGTGGGGAGGGGATTGGCATCATGTATCAAAAAAAAAAAAATCTAGACTCACATCTTATTTCGGAGTTCCTTGTCTCCCCATCCGAGAGTGGAGCAAGCCTCTTTCAGAGCAGTTACTCGGGTTTCTGACGCAGAGCTAGCTGGCCTTTCCAGGCGGATAGACTTTATGCGGGCTTCATAACAATCAGTCCAGTAGGCTTGTACAATCATTTCTAGGGCGCGCGCAGTCTGAGTCTTGTTGGAGTGTCGAAGACAGAGGTTGCTGACGGCCTTGAACAGCTGAAGAAATAATTTAGTTACGAAGTCGGTGCAGTCTTACTTGATGGGCCACTCACCTCCGCGGTGACCTCACCGCTGACACCAACTGTTGCATGCGTGGCCTGAGGTGTGAGTTAGACGCTCTCTTCCGCCCGGGGGGATGACATGTTGCATGTATCATACCAATGTAGACCAATTCAGCTCCGTGTTTGAATGGAGTTGCCGCCATATCCCAGAGATGAGCTTGTCGACGGATGATGGCTCGCCTGTTGCACGAGAAGCCTTCTTCGAGTGACTCCGCTGGGGGAACCTCGTTTCGCTCCGCAGCTGGCGAACTGGCTCCGTTTGAGAGCTCGAATACGAGCTTGAATCACGATCATCTTCTCGGGAACAGGAAGTCCGAGGTCGAAGTCGAAGGCCACCAACAACCTTGCGGCGTTTTCGGCCCTCGTACTCGTCTGTTTGCGTTGGATGACTTGATTCTGCCGGTTTAGAATTGCCACAAGGTAGCACGGTGATTGGCCTTTCTTCATGGCTGTCGGTGTGTGCTAAGTCCTGTACGTAGCTGTCAACAGATATATGAGTTGTACAGGGACAGTTACTCCGTGGTACGATGGAGTGGTGACATATAAACAAGGTCGACGTACCTGACCTTCGAGCCCAGGGCCAGGAGATGGTTCAGGAGTGACCAGAGTCTGACCGTTTCGAAGGTCAATCCAACCCTAGATGCCTTGTCAGGAGGACTGACGGGGATACACTGGTAGAGGAGACGGGACATGTCGTCCTTACCAGGAGTAGGGGTTTCGGGGGGTCGACGTTGGCCTCGGAGACCTTGGAGAAACAGATGTGAGCCTCCAGACGAAGAAAACAACCCCCTTCACCTTGCTCAGCGGCAGCTATGGTGGACTCAAGCTGGGTCGAATCAGTTCCAAAAACATTACACAGCTGCGATATCAGGGGATATCGCTCTAGGGGTTTCGCCGCCATTTTCAGGCATTTCAGAGCGAGAGTCGACCCAAAAGAAGCGTCAAGCTACAGCGGAAGGAGCAGGAGGAAGGCAAAAGAGTCGCTTGTTGAGAGGAGCCTATCCGCGGATGGCGTCTGTCGAATATTGTACAGAGGAAAATGGTTTCGAACCCATTAAACTACTCTGTACTCCGTAACTCCGTACTCTGTATATACTTCATGTACTCCGTAACTCTGTGCTCTGTACTCCGTCAGTGGCGGAGAAACGCCCGGAGCAGCACAGCTTGGCATGTGGCGGTGCGAGTTTCTCTCTTTTTTACTTTTTTCTTTTTCTTTTTCTGCCCGGGCAGAAGAGGCGTTGGCTGGGTTAACTAACCAGTCACTACTGATTGACCCGGCCGGAACCTTAACATGATCGTGTATTCCGTATCCCGTACTCCATAGCGGTGCTCTGTCGTCATCCTGGGCGCCTCTCAACGCCCGCGGAGGCGGTTACGGAGTACTGTGGATCGGATCATCCGCTCATGCCTCGCTCGTCGGGCGGGACTGGCGATGGACCACCCTTGCGCTGCACCTGGCCATCTCCACGTTATCATGACTGCACGGGATTAGTCCGTCCGTTGATAGACTTTGACATCGTTCCTTGGGTGTGAGAGAAGTCGCGCGCTCAAGCTCTGATGTTTCCAGCGCAAGTGTGTCACGACCACGGAATCCACGATGTATGAGATTTAGGGTAGCACGGCCGGTGGTTTGGGGGCAGGCGGGTGTCATTGTCACGATTCAATGGCTGCTCTTCCCTAGGCGAAGAGTAGACGACGTATACTTCCCCGTATCGACTTTGAAAGCACTGTTCGAAATCTCTTTTTTCTTTTTTTCTTTTTTTTTTTTTTTTTTGGTTCCTTGTCAGGGGGTTCGGCCGGTTTAGGGGACCTCCACAGAGCACATTGCCGCTGCGACGGGATGGGATCTCTCCCATTGGTCGCGGTATCGTTCATGGTTTTCCGACAGACTTGAATAGCATTCACGAAGTTTGCAAACACAAGTCCTCGAGTAGTGCTCCGTATTATTATTATATAAATTCGCCTTGTTGTCTTTGCAGAGACCTCGACATTGACTTACTTCTCCCTCATTGCGTTTCACTTTGATAGAGTGACACTGCATCATGTCCTCCCGTTCCACCACAGATGCCGGGGCGGACTCCCCTCCCCCCTTGACTCGGGAAAGAACGAGAGACGCATACACCTATGAGAATCTTCGGGGATGGAAACGGTACCGCATCCTCAGGCCGGGTCGGGGAATATACCACGATATCCGAAGGCGGCTGCCCTATTACAAAAGCGACATCATCGATGGCTTCACGTACAGGACTATTGCGAGCACTGTTCGAATGTACTTTGTGAAGTATGTCTCTACACTGAACTGTATTTAACCTTGCCTGAAACTGACGTCCGTTTCCTAGCTTGCTTCCCGCTATAGCCTACACCTTGGACATGTACCGCCGTGCAGGCGAGTTCTTCGGTATCAATGAAGCTCTCGTTTCCTCTGCTCTTGCAGCAGTAGTTTTCAGCTTGCTGAGTGCTCAGCCACTCACTGTGGTTGGCATAACCGGTCTTATCTCGCTGTTTAATTTTACTATTTACGACATCATCAAGATATATGACGTCTCTATATACCCCCAGTTCATATGCTGGACGGGGATCTGGGCTGCAATCTTCCATTGGCTTGTTGCAACCTGGAATTGGTGCGACTACATGCGTTATGTGACAGATTTTTCTAGCGAGGCCTTTGGGATGTACGTTGGTATTATCTATCTGAGTATGTCGACCCTGATACCAACCATCCCTCCAATGCCACTGGATTAACTCGCTGTTAGTCAAGGGAGTCGAGGAACTTGTGTCCGAGTTTGCTTCACATGGCCTCGCCGCTGGGTACCTAAGCTGTTTGATTGGGATTTTGTATTTCGGTAGCATCTATGCACTTGAGAAGCTTGGTGCAAGCAATGTTTTGAACCCGGCTCTGCGAGGACTATTGGCCGATTACGCTTACCCTGTGAGTAACTGGACCCATACTTCACGCCTATTTTTCTGGCGAGCAAAGTGCTGATTAATGATCTGCTTGATTGAGATCGGTACTGTGTTTTGGGTTGGCTTTTCGCATATCCCAGGACGCCTTGAAGCAGCAGATATTGGCCGAGTGCCAATTACCCGAGCCTTTTATCCCACCCAGCCCCGTAGCTGGCTTATTGAGTTTTGGAATTTGGACACCAAATGGATTTTCGTGGCCATACCGTTTGGCTTTCTGACGATGCTTCTCTTCTACTATGACCATGTAGGTGTCCCTTTCGCCGACGATAACGGAAACTGTGGTTAGTAACGGCAGCAAAGAATGTCAGCAGTTTGACAGCGCAGGCGAGACAGTTCCCTTTGAAAAAACCCGGCGGATTTCACTGGGACTTTTTCCTTCTTGGCTGCACAACCTTTGTGGCCGGAATTTTAGGCCTACCAATGCCCAACGGACTCGTCCCACAGGTTAGAAAAACCCACCTACTTTGGGATTTATCACATGTCTAACTATTCTAGGCTCCTGTGCACACCGATTCTCTTACTATTTACGAAACTGAACTGAAAATAATTTCCACGGCAGAGGGAGAAGGAGCAGAGATTAGGAGACCGGTTGTGAGGGCGAAGGCCGTAGTTGAACAGCGACTTTCTCATTTCTTCATGGCCCTCTTACTCATTGGAACAATGACCGGACCGCTACTGATTGTGTTACATACTATGCCTGTAGCGGTCTTTGCAGGTGTATTCTTCATTGTTGGAGTAGGCTATCCGTTCTTCAATCCGTACTTCCACTTGGCTGACCAAAGCACTAGTGGGGATCTATCGAGTCAAACGGAATTTTGCAAAAGGTTATTTTCCTCTTCCGCGAGGACAGGTTCATTCACCGTGATGAGCCACTCCTCTTGATACGCAAAAGAAAAGTCGTGCTGTACGTCGGACTGCAAATGTTTGGCGTCGCGTGCACTGTGGCTATTTCCTACACAATTGCGGCTATTGGTATGACCTCCTGCTTTGGCAACATCCGCGTACCCTGCATTCCAGACGCTTATCCCTCGCTACAGGTTTCCCTGTTCTCATCTGTCTTCTCATACCCGTGCGTGTTTGGTTGCTCCCGAGATGGTTCTACGATAAAGAACTCGAGATCATGGATGACCTAACAGCCAATAACAAGGTCGTCCTGGCCAGCCTTGGTGGAGCTCCAATTCTCCCAGAGGGCCAAAGACCTGAAGACTACGGACTGGAACGCAAGTACTCGGAAGAAAGGCATGGTGTTCCAAGGCAGCGTGCTGGAAGCCTACATCGCTGATGTTGCTGCTGATGCTGATGCTTGTTTCGCACATTACCATGGCTTTATTATGACAGTCCCGCAATCTAATAGTTGCCGGATCTTCCAAGCTTGATAAAGGAGAGGTACAAGGTCAATACATAGTATTTTAGTTGCATAAGCATACTAGACCACCTACTTTTTCAAGTGAAGTTTGCGCTCGGAGTATAGTCAGTGAATGATTTGTGGGTACTTTGAATTCATTTTGATGATCATTCTAAGGAAAATGTGCCTTGCATGTATGCATTCAACTTTCAAAGTACAGAGAATCTAAGTATGTAACAGAAAAAGCTTGCATTTGCATTTTGGAAGTAAGAAAGGCAATCCTTCCAGGGGAACAAAAAGAGAAAAGAGAGACTGAGAGTAAGCAAGAAAGACACGGTAATGCAGCATACGAAGTCAAGGGAATAGATCATCAACAACCATATTTGTCCATGATAGCTCTGAATGAAGGGTCTTGCAGAAGCTGTGTTGCAGTTGGATGTTTCTCTGGGTAGTAAGTAAATACTTTATACATAACAGAGAGTACATGTTCTCGCTCAGTGGGATCAGCTTCAGGACGAAAGTACGCAATTGTTGATGCAAGGTCATGAGTAGGATTTGGTGTTTGATGCTGATTATACCAGGCATCAAGGCCTCCAGGGTGAGTGTAAAGAGTCCTCCACTGCTCAGGCAGTGGACCTAAACATCTCACAATACCAGTTATTATTCCACCTTTAAGCCAGGTAGGGAAAGGTGGATAGCCAAGATAGAGCTCCGCAAATATGACCATGTAACTCCACATGTCACAGGCAAAACTTGGATCTTTCCCATGAAGTCGATCTGGGGAGCAAAATTGCAGAGGTGGATAGCTATATTGAGTCACAGGTTCACCAAGTGTCATGGCCAGACCAAAGTCACCAAGATAGAATTCGTCCGTTCGTAGATTCTCAGGAATCTCAAGGGGACGAACAAGCTCTCCCTGCTTCCAGAGCTCAACAAATGGTATGGATTGCTTTAGTGGCTGAGTGAGTGCCTTGTATTTAGCACTCCTGTTGAGATTGTGGACAGGAACCATCCCCCACATACAGTTCCTCTCATTCAAATCTGTCAAATATCCATTTAGAATGCGGACGAACAGGAAAGAGTGGAAGACTGAGTTTACTCACCACGGTGTACAATACCAGCTTCGTGTAAATTTTCCAAGGCCTTTAGCAACTGCTGAGCAGCAGACATGCGAGTGGCCATGGGCATCTTTCTCAGAATAACAGGGCAAAGACATGGGCCCATCAAGGGAAGCACCAGAACCCTATGATGTCCCTTATTTCCAGGGAGTAGAAAGGTGTCAAAATATGTCACAAAGTGAGAGATATCCTGTACAGTCTGGATAATTTTGTCATGCATGTGGGCTTCATTTTCTCCCCATTGTCCCAAAGACATAACTTTCAGGGCCACATCTCTCTTGTTCTTAAGGTCCTGGGCCATCCAGACAGTGGAGAAGCCCCCAGAGCCGATTTTGTGCTCTACCAGGTATCTTTCATTGAGCAGTTCTCCGACAAAAATGGGATAGAATACATGCGGAGTTTCCTTTATATCGTACTTATGCCAGGGCTCGACAACCTCTTCAAGATCAAGTTCCTCGTCTTCAGTGCTCACAAAGTCGCCGAAGTCTGCCGTATCATCGCCCTTGAGGTATTGGGATGCTGTTGTCGTTATCGCCATAGCTGGCACGCCAATCTGGCGCGTTCCAATGCCAGTCATTCTGGGCGAGCATGTGTTGATACCAGAGACGGGGATGGTGGGGCCATTCAGGGAGCGAGACGGCGCGGGTTATCGCAAGTTTGGCGGCCACAAAGGCCACACGAACGCTAATCGCTAGTTACGAGTGATATAGCCCAGAGAAGGGGTTGATGCGAGGGAAGTCCTGTCCTAAAGAGATATAAACACTCCCTACTGGTACTAGTCCAACCTTACGTCAATTTTGTCAGGTGACCTTAAGTCTCGACGCCACCGTGCCGCGGCAGGTTGACTTAAAACTCTATGCGAGATCAGAGTACTCCGTACGGAGTACAGAGTAACGTATCCTCCCAAAAATGATCAATCCTAGCAAAGACTCACCCTATCTACGCGCCCAACCTATTAGACCTATGAGGATCACTTAATTGTCACCCATTTAAGTCTCTCCCGTATCTTTGCGCCTATTAACTGAGTTCCACTTGTCCACAACCTTCTAGAGGTGAATTGTGGCTGGACATTGTATCATTCAGGTCGCCCGGACTTGTACTATCTAATTGATCCACTCAACTGTTGATGCAAACACTGAGTGAGGGTTGCCTTGCAGCCTTGTTACAAGAGACGCTCTTCTATTCAAGGCCTTCGACCGCTTTCTCTAAGCGCTGACTCCATTATCTGGCAGTCAACCACACATCGCATCCCGATCCGGATTAATCTTTCTCAGGGCTACTAACTAGATTGGATGATCATCCCCCAAGTTGGTAATTGATGAACGAGGGCAGCTCGCCGCCAGAGATGGATCAGAAAGGAATCTACGCTCTTGGACTATGTAAGGGGGCCGGGTCAAACCTTCAGACAAGCCAAAATGCTTGTAGACCAAGCATATGCTTCTCATTGAGCATGGCAGGGCGGCAAGCAAAACCATCTGCAAAACAGAATGACCATCCTCTGCCACATAATTGATTACAGGCTCAGCACATGGAACAGAACCATACTAAAATTACCTGGTTGAAAGGGTTGGTGAGCGGTTCTTTTGAAGCACTGCCTGCTCATCTTTGGGCTACCAGAACATACTGCATGACCTGCCTGCCTCCTGACGCGAGGAAGAGCAGCGGCGTTTAACCCTGAAGTAGCATCAACCCGGGTTAATTCGATGTCTGGTGAATGTATAAAGTCCATCATTCCTTCCATCTGTCTCAACCTCTTCCTACTTGTAGCTCTCAAATATCTCCAGTACCGCTCTCTGCAAACAATCCTCCTGACTACTGCTGCCTTACGCCCTATTCCTCTCATTTATCGCTTTGGAAGTGTCTTCTCTTCCTACTTCCCTTGTTAGTATTGGAGACAAATAGACCTATTCACTTCCGTTAATCTTCAACAAAATCCCTGATCATGGCCTGTCCCAATAATCTCCCCTCCGATTCCTTCGAGGGCATGATCGACGGCATTACCTTAAAATGGGGCCCTAACGCAATCACGAACCTGCCCGACAATGCTAAGGTATTCAAAGTGGATCAAGCCGCCTTGAAAGGCGCCACTGAGCATGTAAGTAGCTCACGCGAGTGCTAAACGACTTTCGAAAACCGGAGTTCGCATCTTGTATACTGTCATTCATGTTCTAATATCTATTAGCAATCTAGGATTCTAACTGTCTCTTAGGGTTCGTTTCATAACACGACGACCGTCACCGCAACCGGTGAGAAACAGCCGGATGAGTGACATTGCTCGGTTTCAATGACCCCAGGTCAAGTCAAGGTCCATATTTATGTTAATCTTTCCGATGAGTTAGCGCTCCACGACATGAAAGTGCTAGGAGAAAGTGTAGTTCCGCGCGGTAAATCTGCCCCGGACCCAACTCTGTCCATAGGTACCTACCCTCAGTGACAGGCATGGCATCATTGTATACGGCATTGTGGGATGATCTTGCTAGGTTCTTGACTGAAGAGAGCATACGAAAGGTGCTAAAGAGAACTGGTGTAAGTAGAACTGTTATAACAAAAAATTTATATAACTCACTTGGGCTGGCTACGACTCTGGACCGACATGCGAGGTTCGCTCCATGAACCGTGCTGTTCAATGCAAAGCCGCTTTCGTCCTTCTCACCTGGAGTTTTGGTGAGGCCACAAGAGAATTGGATCATTATTTGGAAGCAGCCGAGATCCACTCCTTACGAACATGGGATTATTCTTGCAGCCCGCAGGCCATCATATCACTATTACAACATAAGCAAGTTATGAATTAAGTGTTTTAAAGCAATTGCACTTACTATCTCCAAAATATCTTTGAGAATGAATGGACATTGACAATTCTGATGATGAGGTAGAAAGAGTATGAAACCAGTGAGTTTTGCATGGTATTTGAGATTTTTTGTATCCATTCATTTATAAGTCTTCAGTGTTGTCATATTGGCAAGAATCACCTAAATCAGAATGTCAATTCCTCTGCCACTGAGGCCTTGAAGGAACTATCCAGCAATAAATATGCTCATATTTTGTGCAACAGCAAAAATGATGGAACTGATAAAGAACAATGCTATGAACACATAGAGAGGGGGCTTTTGACTGAATGTGTTGGAGATGCTGCAAACCAGTTGCATAACCAGAACACATAGAGTGTAGGCTAGACTTGCCCAGAATGACTCTAAACTCATGCCCTTCAGTTCACCAGCTATTGTCTAGCTATGGGCATCAGGATTCAACATGAGTGGCATACAGATCAGGAAGAGGGTTATGGCTCACTGGAATGGCAATCTCCAGGCAAGTTGCATCCACCTAAAAACCAAAAAGGGTTGCCGCAAGCCCTATGAAGGCAAGTTCATGGGACAGTGGCTTTTTTGGCATTGGTTCATTATTGTCCACCCCATTCAGCCCTCAGGAGAGAGTTGCTCCATGGTCTCCGTCACTATTGCCACGTCCTCAGCCTTTTCAAAGTATTTGTTGAGGTCCGGTTCTTTTAGATTGGCGTTGATCTTTGAATGGCCCATTCTGGGTATAGGAGCTCGAGTCTCCGACTACGTCGACTACTGGCGGAGTGATAACTGCTGAAGCAAGCGTGAGAGTTGATCTGCGGGGGTTGTGGAGCTGGGGAGGCCCACCGATTGCTCGATCTGCGAAGTTTGGACACTCTTGGCGCCTTAGCATGTTGGACCGAAAAAAACGCCCTGTGGAAGTGACCACAGGTTAAGGACTGGGCAAGAGCAGTTGCGAAAGCTTGACTAGATTTTCTGCGTTGCACCTGGAATACCCCCTTTGTTTCTGTTAGGTAATCCAACTAGCACCTCGCTCACGTGACCCACATAGATTAGCTGAGATTCCTCTTTAGGTAGCTTAGTGAATAACAAGCATACAAGTCCTCCATCAGATTATAGCCCTTTGCACTGAAGAGCAAGCATATAAGATTGATTTACAGCTCAATTAGATATTAAAGCTTATAATTAACATTCTGAATAGTTATTCTTGTGAATAATGAGATTTTATAAGCACAAGAGAGAGCATATATTAAGATAGACATCTTCTATATATGCAACTTCTGTAGCTTTCTAGTACTGAGCTGAAGAGTAAGTTGACTTTTGTAGCTTTCTAACATGTGATCAGAAAGTAAGCAAAATGTCTGCTAAACATATCTAGCAAGCATATTAAGCATCTGGCAATATTAAAGCCATAATGAACTGTACAGATGAACTGGAGCACTGAACTTCTAACTGAAAAACTCCAATAAATCTCTCTACACTTCAAACTGAGATTAGATAATTAAGTAGACTTAGAGACAGCTCACCAAACAACAAGCAGAAGTCTAGAAAGAAGAGTAAACTTCAAATATTATATAAAATAATGCTGAATCAACAAAAGATGATGCAAAGATAATAGAAGACAGTATAATAGCTGGCACAGTAAGTAAATCTTCTATTAGATCAAGCAAGCACTGCAAACACATCTGCAATAATGCAGAAGAATCTAAAGTATAAAACTTAACAAGAAGAAGAAGACAACTGAGAAATAAACTCTGATAAGAAACTAGAAGAATATATTGGCAATCTTATAGATATAAATATGTGAATTGGCAGAGTAATTACCTAATTTACAAAGATCATAAAGATGGTGAAGAAGTCTATAATTCTGGCTGAAGCCAGCAACTATTTAGCATAAAGTAAAGCCATTCTAAAAGTAGCTTATTAAGTAGATGTTGAGAAGATTATTCTGAAAAGACAAGAGACTTCATTACAGTCAGAATACTTGAAGATTTCATAATACTGGAATATTCAGAATAATTAATTATATAATCTAATTAACAGCACAATATCTGCACAAGTTAAAGAATACTTTAAGAAATTGAATAATCTTAATATCTATAAATTCTGAAAAGCTATAAGAATAGTCTTTTAAGAAAGATCTGAGATACAGTGGAAAAGCCTACTTATAAAATTAGTAAGAATAACATCACAATTTACTAACTCAGAAAGAAATTATATAGAAAGATTTCTAGTAATTTATAAGAAATTTGAGAGATTAGAGTTCAAACAACTAAACCACACTCTATATAATATCTTGAAGATAAACATTACATTCTGATGAAGAGAGTTTATACAGAACTGATTTGATATAGCATGCCAGAGCAGAATAAACTTACTAAAGAAGAATTTAAAAAATCTACTAAAGAATATTTTTCACCAAATTCTCAAGAAAAATCAGAAGAAAGATAAATCTACAAAGCTAAATACAAATGCAACAAGCTTAAATCTTTAAAGATCTTATAAGAATATGAACTCTGAATCCAATTCAGAGAAGAGCTTACTGCAGAACTGGAACTGCTATATTTATAACAAACCTGGCCATTTGGCCAAATTTTGCAAATCTAACAAGAATTCAAAGTCTAACAAGTCTAAAAAAGACTCTAAAGACAAAGATAAGAAAATAATTATAATTGCAATAGACAAGATTCATTTAGTTCACAAAGCAGTCTTCTTTATAAAAGAAGCACACAAATTCACAGACAAATGAATTCTTGACTCTGAAGCCAGATTTCATACAATTTCATATACAGATCTAGTTTAAATGGATCTGAAAAGCCATGCAACACAACTGCTTATGGCAAACAGTTTGAAATCAGTCACCAGAGAATTTGGCACAGCCAGTATTTAAACTGACAATAATGAATTGAGCATTGAGAGAGTTAAAATCATATCTGTCCTTCAGGTTAATCTTATAAGCTTTGAGAAGCTTATACAAGATGGCTTTACAGTAGAACAGCTTTATATTAACAGAGAACACATCTTTCTACTAGAATTAGCAGATAAAACATAGAGCTTTGAAGCCATACTTAGTAAGAATGACATTCTAGTTTTACAAACATCTAGAATACACAATTTACTGATATATGTGTTTCCAGTACCTACAAAACTTCTAGAGTCCTGCTATATAACAGCAACTCTAGAGAATAAAGATGATATGCTTTTGGCATCAAATCACCTGGCAAAGATGCCAGAAATCAAGAAGAATATGATGGCCAATTAGCACAAATGCTGGAGGCATCTCAACACCCATGATATAGCTATTTTAGCTAAAGATTCAAGAATAGCAATGTGAATAAAGAAAGTAAAAAAGCTACTGTGAAACCTGTACTAAAGCTAAGCAAGCTTGCAATCCATTTAAATCTAGAACATGCTCTATAAAGCCTGGAGCTAAAATTTTTATTAATATTGCAGGTGGTAGCTGTACTCTCTCTACAGACTCTGATTCTCCAAGCTACAGCAGAGTGAAGTATTTCCTACTTATAATGAACAATACTATATAATACAGGTGGATCTATCTTCTGAAGAAGTGGGTAGAAGCTCCAGAAGCTCTGAAGAACTAAATCAACATAATTGAAGTGTCTACTAAATAAAAGATTAGCACTATACTATCTGATGTAGCTTCTGAATTGATGAGTCAACAACTGGCTGAATTCTACAGAGGCAAGAATATACAACAAAACATTATATCCTTATATACATCTTAACAAAATAAAATAAGTGAATGAGAAATATGACTTCTTTGTAAGTGTACAAGAAGTATACTTATAGACTCAGAACTACTCAATAAGTTATGAAGTGAAGCTCTTGCCACAGTCTTCATAATGGTGAATCTATTGCCTACCTCAGTGCCTCTATATAAATGCAAGAACATGAAGCTGTTGACATTCTTTAAAGCCTGAACAGATCACTAACCCCATTGCAGATAGGTCTATAAATGAGAATGTGATATCTATAAAAAGATTTTGAATGAATTCTTGAAGCTCCAACTTAGATTCAAGAAAATCAAATTTGTAGAATATCATTAAGCTGGTATTTGCGACCAGGATGGGATCTCATTTCTTATTAAAGCTGGTTCCAGTCCCCAATTTAGAAACAGCCAGAATCCCAAACATGAAATCTCAGTCCCATGTCCCATTCTACTCAAGAGCTTGAGATTCTGTTTCCATCACTATTCTATAAATTATTTTCCAGTTCCATTCTCAAATAGAAAATTATGTTCCATGTTTCATCCCAGCAGAGAAAGTAGGCTTCCATTTCCCATTCCAGCCAGATCTATAGTGGGACCAGAATAAGATCAGATTTTCCAGCTCTATTATGTCAAGAGTTAAACTGGTCAAATTTTGCATGGACCATTATCAAATTTTATTACTTTTTTGATAAAGACAGAACTCTTAGAAAAATTAATTTCATTATTAAAGAAAAAAACAAAGTATTAAAACTAAGTAATAGCTGAAGCCAGTAAATAATCAGAAACTGTGTAAATGATAAGTTTATTATTCTCATCATCATTATTATTTTTATTATTGTTATTATTCTTATTATTGTCATTATTCTCTTTCTCTTTCTTCTTCTCTCTCTTCTTTTTCTTCTCTCTCTTCTTCTTCTTTTTCTTCTTCTTCTTTTTCTTCTTCTGCTCCTCTAGAACTGGCTTTGTAAACTAGACAGGGGCTCTAATACTCATTATTTGATGAGTGAAGACTCTGTCAGCACCAGAGAGAGACAGAGAGACAGTAGTGAATGATGACAGTGATGATAGAGCAGCAGCAGAAGTGATTAGCAAAATAAGAGCAAAATGCAGATAGCAGATAGTAGCAGCAGAGGCAAAAGCAGCAGAGATAAGACAATCAGATACATTAATTAAGCTGAAATAGTTTAACTCAGTTATGACACTAATGTTAAGAACAAGCTTTATGTTATCAGTATTAACTGTAACATACTTACAGTGCACCATTACTATAACAGAGTCTATATCACTTAGTATAATTATTGATATCATTGCTAATAGTAACTTATACTTAAATAGAGTGCACAAGATTGCTTCAGCAGTCTTCTGAAGTAACTTAATAACAGTATATTATTAGTGATATTCATATTCTTGATGACAGAACAAAGTAATTTCCCAAATTAATTGCTGAAACAGGATTATCAGAAGAATTAGCTTTGTAGAGCTCTGGAAGTGACAGATTTCTTTAATAATATCTATTTCATTAATTAGTATCAAGATTATTACCAAAAATTGTTACTTTTTAACATACAAGTGCTGGACTTCCAATTATGAACTAAAGAATAAGAGCAGAGATTCTTCTGATCAAAGTTAGCCAGATTAATATTTTTATTAGCTTTACATCAATTATTCTTCTTCAGAGCCCATTCTTTCAATGCAGTCTTGTGCTACTTCTCTCTGACTGTGCAAAATAAATGCACACAGAGAAAACTAACACCTTGTTAGTAAATAATATACATCAGAGCAGAATTCTGCAAGCATTTATCTCTTAATATAACTCATTATTGCAGTGCAGTTTATCATACAGGGGAACATTAAAAAGCAGTAAATAAAAAAAGAGATCAGAGAGAGAGAAGAAAATTATTAATATTAGTTCTGAAGAGAAAGAAGAAAAAGAGAAAGAGAAAAAGAAGAGAAGAGAGACTAATCTTATATTATTATTCTGCAGCAGTATAGCAACAACATATTAAGCTTGCCTATAGCAACACATCTATAGAATGTAAACAATATGTATAGTAATTATTCTATACAAGTACTTGATTAATATACTTCATATTCTTATTATTCTGTAGCTAGCATAGCAACAATGTGTTGAGCTTGTCTATAGCAACATATCTATAGAATATAAATAATGTGTATAGTAATCATTCTATACAAGTAGTTGATACACTTTATAATCTTATCATGCAGTGCCTTTAATTCAACTTATCACATATAATTGTAAAGATGGGGTCAAAGCAGTATTTAATAAGAGAGAAGACTCATGCAGTATGAAAGCACTGCTAGATCTTGAAAGATTATCAAAAAAATATATTTAAGACAGAAGAGACAGATTACAGAATACATTATAATATATTGAAGAGAATCTGAGCCAAATATAAGTAATATGCACTCTCAGTGGTTTACATTGAATTATATTAATATTTATTGCAGACAGAATAGCAGTGAGAAGAATTACAAGATAATTAAAAATAAAGCTATTAAATAGCTGATAATCAAGCAATTTGTCAAGAGCAAGTTAAAGAAGTATTATAAGCATCAGCTTATAGTCTCTCAGCAAAAGAAGAGAGAGAAGAAGAAGAAGTATTATTAAAAAAAGATTACAGAGATCAAGAATAAAACTCAGCAGAACAAGAAGATAGAATTCAAAAGTAATAAAATTTGATAATAATTGTAATATATTTAGATTAAAACAAGCCAGATGTAGTATTCTATTGCTATATATAAGCAGACCTGATTCTGTTAAATAATAGCCAAGCTTGAGATCAAGATTATAGCTTATAATCATGATTATCTTGCTGTAATTGATGTATCAAGAAAGAGAGTTAAGAAGAAGATAAGAGAATTTCTGAGTTAATTACAGAGTCTGATAAAAGATAATAATAACTTACCTGTTCCAGAGAAGATAGAGAAAGATAATTTTAAGATTGTAGTATTCTCTAATAAAAATAATAAGATGAACAATAAGATGAATAATAATTGAATTATTAATATCTAGAGAAGAAAGTTAGATTTTTAGTTTTTTTTTTATATTAATTTAAGAATAGAATATCATTAAATTGGCAAAATGTTTTATTTTCCTAAAGAAGAATATTTTATTTTATAGATAATGATTTTGTAGTTGATTACTGTGCAAAGTAGAATAAGTCTAACTAGCTGAGTTGTCAAATTTTGCTTGAACTGTTACCAAATTTTGTTACTTTTTTAACTAAGATAGAACTCAGAGAAAAATCAATTTGATTATAAAAAAAAAAATCTAATTAATAACTAAAGCCAGCAAACAAGCAAAATTTACAGAGATTTCTTCAGAATTAACTATAGTTCAACATAAAAAAAAAGAAATTGTATTGTGGAAAAAGCAGCATCACAAGTTGTTTATTACTTGATAGTTAACTACTAAAGCTGCTTAGTTAGTTAAAAATAAGAAGTGTAGTGACTCTAACTAGAAGGCAAAGCAACATCATTCTGATTTTTGGCCAAAAATTAATCAGATGGCAGAGTATTCTAAGAGTACTTCAGAAATAATTTGCAAGCATTATCAAATCTTTCTTAGTTATTCAAGCTTTTCTTAAAATGGTACAAGTGATCTGAAGAAGTATTTAACCAGCAAAGACTGTACAAAAACTGAGAACAGACAGAGTAATACTCTGATTAACATAATAGTAGATTATGAATTCTAATTTTCTAAATATAATGAATTTTAGTAATAATTCTGGTGTCTTAATAATAATTTCTGAAGTATTCTTGAACAGATTCAGATCTGTCTGTTTCTGAATGTAATTAAGATACTTTTCTTCAGCAGCTTGTGTAAATATTAATATTCTTGAATCTCTTATTTTATGCTATTGAGAATTTAGCATTCCACATATTAATAATCATGCTCAACTCTGTGATGGCATTACAGATATTCACATGAGAAATATTATATCAGATTATGAATGATATATACAATCAGCTATTCTAAAATCTTCTCTTTAATCATAATCCAACAATTAAGATATCTCTAGCAGTAAATAATTAGACAAGTTCCAATAATCTTGTCTTTATGGCAATTAATAATTATTATATTATAAAGAATTGAAAGTACTGTAAGTATTTACTGGATTTTAAAGATTTAAAAAGTGCTTATACTAGTAAGAATATAACAGAGATTCTTTAATAATTATTAGCAGCATAAAGACTTGAGAGTAATCTTCTTATAATTACAAGTAATAATACATTAAATAATAGTACTATATAAGCATATCTTACATATTAGTTAAGGCCAGCATTGCAGCAGTTGAACAAGATAACTGATTAGAATACAGACAATAGAATAATACTCTATCTTGCTTATATAATTCAACTTGTGATTTGAGAGCTGGTTTGTAATCTCAAGATTCAGCCAGATAATAATGCTCTACCCACTATCTTTAATAAGAGCTTAATTACTGATGATCTAGCATCAACAGATACATTTGCAAATACTCTTAGAAAGATAATAAAATTTGGTAACAGTCTTAATATACTTGAGTTGATTTACTAATCTTTGCTTAATAATAGATTTATCTTATTGCTAATACAATCAATATCTTCCCCCAACTTGCTGCATATTTCTGAGAATATCAACAAGAGAACTAGTATAAGATGATTTAAAATATTTGCATAAGATGAAATTCTATCTATAAGATATGTGTTTGTGTCTTGTTACTTTAACAAGTTGTGAACTTATAGATTCAGAACTCATCATCAAAATACTAAAGACTTTATTTATTGAATTATAACTGAAAGCAGATAAAGTATATAATTGAACTGTTGCAGTTATTCAGTTAATTTATCAAGATACTATTCAAAACAACACATTCAATAATTTATCTAGTATGAGCAATCTATAATTATCTTTTCCAGTATTTAGAAAGAGAGAAGAACAAGATCCAATAATTAATAATAAAAGAGAATATTAAAGAAGCTATTAAAGCTACCAGCTTAAAATTCCAGAAATACTATAATAATATTAAGTATTTAAAAAATAAGCTGCTAGCTGTAGCTACTGCTCTTCATTCATCATGCTGCATGAGAGTATATAATTCAGAGAATTAGATCAGTGATGAGCATGAAATATACTGACAATATATTTTAAGGTTTTACAAAAAGTATTATGAGAAATATAAACAGTCAAGAGAAGTGATACTTGATATAAATAATGTATATTTATTATAAGTATTATTCTGATTTCCTCTCTACTAACTTCTTTAGAATATTAAACAAATAATTTTTAAGAGACTCTATTAAAGACAAGCAAATTTTTAAAATAAAATACAGCAATATTTAAATAATGAGAATTTAATATTATCTCAAGCTTTAATTCTGGAACAGTAAAGAATGCTAGAGTCTGATTTTCTAATTATTACTCAAATAATAAGAGACATTCTGGCTGTATCTTTAACAGAAGTTAAGATAGAACAGATTTTCAATATTGCTCAGAATACATATTATTATTAATAATTACAGCTTTATACATCTATAATCAAGAAGATCATGCTACTTAAACATGGTAATAAGATATATATGCTGAATAAAGCACTCATATCATATAAGAAGTTGGCCAAGAAAGTCATTCAAGATAATTAAGATGATCAAGATACTTCAGAGATTGTACAGAAGAAGATTGCAAGCCTGCAAAATCTACTACTTAATCTAGACAAGAAACAGAAAATACATTAACATTATCAATAAATAAACTCAAGTAGCTAAAGTCTAATAGCTTGCAATATAATTTAATTATGCAAAGAGCATTACCAAATTTTGTTACTTTTCCAAAGTTGAATTAGAGTGGTATTCAGTTCCAGAATTTCCCATTCTGGTCCTGGATTCCCATCCCAATTCCTGTCCCAAGAACAGGATCAGGTTGAAACTCAGCTCAATGGAATGGGACTGGGTTGTTTAACAGCATATTGGGACAGTTTCATGGGAGCTGAAATCAGAATGGGATTGGGACTGGGATCAAAATCTAGCTAATAGGACAGGCCCAGGACCTGGCCATAACAAAATAAGATAGAACTGGGATTTCAATATTGTATATGGGATGGGACCAGTAAAGTGTAGAATAGGACTGGAAATCCTGATTCTATTTGTGTTGTCAAAAGATAATGAAATTTGGTAACAGTCCTAACATAATTTTATCAATTTATTCAACTTTAAAAAAGTAATGAAATTTGGTAATGCTCTTTGCATAATTGAATCATATTGCAAGCTATTAGACTTTAGCTACTTGAGTTTATTTATTAATAATGTTGATGCATTTTCTGTTTCTTGTCTGAATTAAGTAGTGAATTTAGCAGGCTTGCAATCTCTTTCTGTACAATCTCTGAAGTATCTTGATTATCTTGATTATCTTGAATGACTTTCTTGACCAACTTCTCATGCAATATGAGTGCTTTATCCAGTATATACATCTTGTCTCTATATTTAAATAGCATAATCTTCTTAATTATAGATGCATGAAGCCATAATTATTAATAATAACATGTATCTCAAGTAATATTGAAAATCTGTTCTACTTCAATCTCTGTTAAAGATACAGCTAAAATGTCTCTTGCCATTCAAGTAATAGTTGGAAAATCAGACTCTAGCATTCTCCACTGTTCCAGAATTGGAGCTTGAGATGATGTCAAATTCTCATTATTTAAATATTGCTACATTTCATTTTGGAAATTTGCTTGTTTTTAATGAGATCTCTCAAAAATTATTTGCTTAATATTCTAGAGAAGTTAGCAAAGAGAAAATCAGAATAATACTTATAATAAATATATATTATTCACATCAAGTATTACTTCTCTTGACTGTTTATATTTCTCATAATACTTTTTGTAAAATCTCAAAATATATTGTTGGTATATTTCATGCTTATCACTGGTTCAATTCTCTGAATCATATGCTCTCATGCAGTATGATGAATAAAGAGCAGTAGCTACAGCTAGCAGCTCACTCTTTGAATGCTTAGTATTATTATAGTATTTCTGAAATTTCAAGCTGGCAGCTTTGATAGCTTCTTCAATGTTCTCTCTTATTATTAACTGTTGAGTCTTGTCCTTCTCTCTTTCTAAATACTGGAAAAGATGATTGTAGATTACTTATACTAGATAAATTATTAGGCCTGTTGTTTTGAACAGTATCTTGATAAATTAACTGAATAGCTGCAATAATTTAATTATATACTCTATTTGCTTTCAGTCATGGTCCAATAAGTAAAGTCTTTGGTATTTTGATGATAAGTTCTGAATTTATAAGTTCACAGCTTGTTAAAGCAACAAGATACAAACACACATCTTATAGATAGAATTCTATCTTGTACAAACATCTTGAATCATCTTGTGCCAGTTCTCTTATTAATATTCTCAGAAATATGCAGCAAGTTGAGAAGAGATGTTGGTTGCATTAACAATAAGATAAATCTATTGTTAAGCAAAGATTAGTAAATCAACTTAAGTATATCAAGATTATTACCAAATTTTATTATCTTTCTAAGAGTATTTGCAAATATGTCTGTTAATGCTAGATCATCAGTAATTGAGCTCTTATTAAAGATAGTGGGTAGAGTATTATTGTCTGGCTGAATCTTGAGATTGCAAACCAGCTCTTGAATCACAAGTTAAATTATATAAGCAAGACAGAATATTATTCTACTGTCTGTATTCTAATTAGTTATCTTGTTCAACTGCTGCAATGCAGGTCTCAACTAATATATAAAATGTGCTTGCATGGTATTATTGTTTAATACATTATTACTTATAATTACAAGAAGATTGCTCTCAAGCCTCCATACTGCTAATAATTATTGAAGAATCTCTATTATATTCTTGTCAGTATAAACACTCTCTAAACTTTCAAAATTCAGTTAATGCTTACAGTACTTCCAATTCTTTGTAATGTAATAACCATTAATTATCATAAAGACAAGATTATTGGGATTTGTTCAATTATTCACCACTAGAGATATCTTGATTGTTGAATTATAATCAAAAAAAAGATTTTAGAATAGCTGATTATATATATTATTTATAACTTAATATAATGTTTCTTGTGTAGGTATCTGTAATATCATTACAGAGTTGAGCATGGTTATTAATGTGCAGAATGCTGGATTCTTGATAGCATAAAATAAAAGATTCAAGAATATTAATGTTTGCACAAGCTGCTGGAGAAAATTGTCTTGATTATATTTGAGAACAGACAGATCTGAATCTGTTTGAGAATGCTTTAAAAACTGTTGCTAAGACACTAGAACTGTTACTAAAATTTGTTACATTTGGAAAATTAGAATCCATAATCTATTATCATGTTAACCAGAGTGTTACTCTGTCTGTCATCAGTTTTTGTACAGTCTTTACTGGTTAAATGCTTCTTCAGATCACTTGTACTATTTTGAGAAAAGCTTGAATAACTAAGAAAGATTTGGCAATGCTTGCAAATCACTTCTGAAGTGCTCTTAGAATGCTCTGTCATCTGATCAAATTTTGACCAAAAATCAGAATAATATTGCTTTATTTTTCAGTTGGGGCCACCATGCTTCTTATTCTTAACTAACTGAGCAGCTTCAGTAGTTAATCATCAAGTAACAAACAACTTGTGATGCTGCTTCTTCCACAATACAAGTTATTTTTTTTCATATTGAACTATGGTCAATTCTGAAGAAATCTCTGTAGATTTTGCTTGTTTGCTGGCTTTGGCCATTAATTAGATTTTTTTTTTTTCATAATCAAATTGATTTTTCTCTGAGTTCTGTCTTAGTTAAAAAAGTAACAAAATTTGGTAACAGTTCAAGCAAAATTTAATAACTCAGCTAGTTAGACTTATTCTACTCTGCACAGTAATTAACTATAAAACCATTATCTACAAAATAAAACATTCTTCTTCAGAAAAATAAAACATTATGCTAATTTAATGACCCTTCATTCTCAAATTAATATAAAAAAAAAACTAATAACCTAATTTTCTTCTCTAGATATTAATAATCCAATCATTATCTATCTCATTATTCTTCTTATTATTCTTATCAGAGAATATCACAATTTTAAAATTATCTTTCTTCATCTTCTCTAAAGCAGATGAACTGTTATTGTCTTTTATTAAACTCTATAATTAGCTCAGAAATTCTCTCATCTTCTTCTTAACTCTTTCTCTTAATATACTAACCACAGCAAGACAATCATAACTATAGATCATGATCTTGATCTCAAGCTTGGCTATTATTTAACAGAACTGGGCCTGCTTATATACAGTAATAGAATACTGTATCTGGCTTGTTTTAATCTAAATATGTTAGAACTGTTATTAAATTTTATTACTTTTAGATTCTATCTTCTTGTTCTGCTGAGCTTTATTCTTAGTTTCTGTAATTTCTTCTTGATAATGCTTCTTCTTCTTCTCTCTCTTCTTTTGCTGAGAGACTATAAGCTGATGCTTATAGTACTTTTTTGACTTGCTCTTGACAAATTGCTTAACCATCAGCTATTCAATAACTTTGTTCTTAATTATCTTGTGATTCTTCTTGCTGCTATTCTGCCTGCAATAAATATCAATATAATTCAATGCAAACTACTAAGAGTGCATATCACTTATATTTGACTTGAATTCTCTTCAGTATATTATGGTGTATCTTGTGATCTATCTCTTCTGTCTTGAATATATCTTTTTGATAATCTTTCAAGATCTGATGGTGCTTCTGTACTGCATGAATCTTCTTTCTCATTAAATATTGCTTTGGCCCCATTTTTATGATTGTATATAATGAGTTGAATTGAAGACACTGTGTGATGAAATTATAGAGTGTATCAACTACTTGTATAGAATGATTACTATACATATTGCTTACATTCTATAGGCATGTTGCTATAGACAAGCTTAATAGGTTGTTGCTATGCTGGCTACAGAATAATGAAAATATAAAGTGTATTGATCAAGTACTTGTATAGAATAGTTACTATACATATTGTTTACATTCTATAGACATGTTGCTATAGGCAAGCTCAACACATCATTGCTATACTGCTGCAGAATAATAACATAAGATTAGTCTCTCTTTTCTTCTCTTTCTCTTTCTCTTCTTCTTCTTTCTCTTTAGAGCTAATATTGATAATTTTCTTTCCTCTCTTATGTTTTTCTTTTTATTTACTGCTCTTCAATATCCCTCTGTATGATAAACTGTACTGTAACAATAGGTTGTGTTCAGAAATAAGTGCTTGCAGAATTCTGCTCTGGTACATATTATTTACTGACAAGATGTTAGTTTTCTTCATGTACATTCATTTCATAAAGTCAGAAAGAAGCAGTACAAGACTGTATTGAAAGAATAAGCTCTGAAGAAGAGCAATTAGTGTAAAGCTAATAAAGATGTTAATCTGGTTAACTTTAACCAGAAGAAATCTTATTCTCACTCCCCAGTTCATAATTGGAAGTCCAGCACTTGTATGTCAAAAAGTAATGATTTTTGATAACGATCTTGATACTAATTAGTGAAATAGATATCATTAAAGAAATCCACCACTTTCAGAGCTCTACAGAGCTAATTCTCCCAGTGACTCTGTTTCAGTAATTGATTCAGGAAATTACTTTGTTCTGTTATCAAGAACATGAATATTGCTGACAATATACTGCTATTAAGTTACTTCAGAAGACTGCTAAAGTAATCTTGTGCACTCTGTTTAGGTATAAGTCACTATTGACAATGATATTAATAATTATACTGAGTAATATAGGCTTTATTATGATAATGGCACATTATAAGTATATTATAGTCAATGCTGACAACATAAAGCTCATTCTTGACATCAGTGCCATGACTGAGTCAAACTATTTCAGTCTGATTGATGTGTCTGATTGCCCTGCCTCTGCTGCTCCCATCTCTGCTACCATTATCTGCTGTCTGTGTTCTGCCTCTGCCCCATCAACTACTCCTGCCACTGCTCCACCACCACTGCCATCACTTACCACTACCTCTCTGTCTCTCTCTAGTGCCAACAGGGTCTCCACCTGTCAAATGGTGGGTATTAGAGCCCCTGTCTGGTTCACAAAGCCAGTTCTGGAGGAGCAGAAGGAGGAGAAGAAGAAGAAGAAGAAGAAGAAGAAAAGAGAGAAGAAGAAGAGAAAGAAGAAGAAAGAGAAAGAGAATGATGACAATAACAAGAATAATAATAATGATGAAAATGATGAACTTGCTATTTAGACAGTTTTAGGTTATTTGCTGGCTTTAACTATTACTTAGTTTTAATACTTTATTTTTTTCTTTAATAATAAAATTGATTTTTCTAAAAGTTCTGCCTTCATCAAAAAAGTAATGAAATTTGGTAATAGTCCACACAAAATTTGACCAGTTTGACTCTTGACACAATAGGGCTGGGAAACCCAGTCCCATCCCAGTCCCACTATAGACCCAGCTGGAATAGGAAATGGGAGCCTATCTTTTCTGCTAGAATGGAACATGGGACATAATTTTCTATTTGAGGACAGGACCAGGAAATAATTTATAGAATAGTGATGAGAACAGAACCTCAAGCTCTTGAGTAAGATGGAACATGGAACTGAGATTTCATGTTTGGGATCCTAGCTGTTTCTAAATTCAGAACTGGGACCAGCTTCAATGGGAAATGGGATCCTGTTCCAGTCCCAAATACCAGCCTAAGTTGAATAAATTGATAAAATTATATTAGAATCATTACCAAATTTCATTATCTTTTGACAACATAAATGGGACTGAGATTCCCAGTTCTATTCTATACTTTACTGGTCCCATCCTATATACAATATTGAAATCCCAGTTCTATTCTATTTTGTCATGGCCAGGTCCCAGGCCTGTTTTATTAGCTAGATTTTGATCCTGCTTCCAATTTCATTCTAATTCCAGCTCCCATGGAACCATCTCAATATGCTGTTAAACAACTCAGTCTCATTCTGTTGAGCTGAGCTTCAACCTGATCCCATCCTTGGGACAGGAATTGGGACAGCAATTCAGAACCAGAACAGGAAATTCTGGAACCAGATACCACTCTAAATATCATGGCATGCACATCTACAGGCTTTGGGACCCAGAAATGAATACTATAATAATCTTGTGAAATGTTATATTTGATGAGAAATTGGATCAAATCCCTATGAATTTGCTAACTGAAGCCAAATATGTTGAACTCCCAGAGAAGTACAATTATATAGATTTACTGAACAGCTGGCAACACAAGCTACTAGCTTATCTTGTGAAGAAGAAGCCAGAAATCATGAAGAAGCTTACAGAACAGTAAATTAAAGACTTTAGAGCCCACATACCTGGGTGAAGAGCAAGAAATTCTCTTGAATACTATAGAGAAAGAAGAGACAAATGGAGCTGAGCTTCTAGTGCTTAGTACATGTACAGATATACCAAAATCCATCACTAGAGCCAAATGCTCTGAAGAGTAGCTTTATTGAAAGAAGACTCTAGATATTAAAGTCTTCAAATTACAAGAGAAAGACACTTAAATTCTAGTTGAGAAGAAATCTCAAATACAGATTCTCTCTGGCAAATAAGTATTTAATAGAAAGCTCAACAATACAGATGGCACAGTATAATTCAAAGTCTGTTGAGTTGTATATAGATTTGAACAGCAGGAAGATGTTCACTACAAGAAGATCTATATAGCAGTTGTTAGTGAACCTACAATAAGAGTCTTCTTTGCTATCTCAACAGCTAAGAACTAGAAAATCAAAGTCTTTAACTTTGTGACAGTCTTTCTAAATAAAACTTTTCCAGAGAATAAACATGTATATATTTAACTATCTACTAGATTCAAGTACAGGTGGGGTAATCTACTAGAGCTCTTACACCAGAAACTCTACAGATTGAAGCAAGCTGCTAGACTTTGGTATTAAGCAGCTACTGACTATCTGAAATCTCTAGAATTTCAGATCTCTTCATATAATGCAAAGTTACTCTACTACAAGAGAAAGTAAATCTATCTAACTCTACACATCAACAACTGCTGTATAATGGGATCTAAGAAAGCTAAGATAGAATGGCTTATTGAGAAGCTTCAGAAATGCTTTGAGATCAAGAAGATTATAAAACAAGACTATTATCTAGACATACAGGTTCAAAAGCAGCCAAATAAAGATCTTTTTGTGAACCAGAAACAGTATATTGAGAATCTACTGACTGAATATGAAATGGAAGACTGTAAATCTTCCAAAATACCAATAAAGAAAGAAATAAGCATCAAATTCACACTAGATCAGACTCTCAAAAATAAAGTTAACAAGCAGACTACATCTACAAATTACAGGAAAGGTCTGAGCTTTCTACAGTTCCTAGTTACATGTACAAGACCAGATATTGCATTCACAGTTAATTATCTGGTAAGATTCAATAGCAGATCTAATAAAGAAAGCTGAATAATATTTAAGTAGATTCTATACTATTTCAAGAACACATAATTAAAAGAAATAGTCTTTAAAAGAGATATAAATTCTGAAGACTTGAAACTGATAGCTAGTTCAGATTCTGACTAAGCTGGAGCTGACCCTGCATACAAATTCATCAGTGACTACAATATTACAATGAATGAAGCTTCAATATTATGGAGATCATAGTACCAGATATTCATCTCAAAATCAACAACTGAAGTAGAGTATTTAGCAGCTAGCAAAGCTGCTTGTGAACTAGTTTGAATTAATAATTTATTGATAGACACTAGAGTGATTAGCAAAGACTCAGCAAAGCTAAGAAGCTCAAAATTAAGTATTGATAACAAGAGAGCAGTTAACTTAGCCAAAGCTGAAGCTATAATACAAAGAGCATATTATATTAAGATTCAGCACCATATGCTAAGAGACTGGATTTAAAAAGATGAAATCTTAATCAAGCATATTGAAATCAACACAAATACAGCTGACACACTTATAAAGACTCTTGTAATGGATTTCTACACTCAATTTATAAGTGTGATTGGTGACAAGTTAATACAGAAAAATATAGAGAGTTATCAGTAAAGCTAGCAAAAATACAGTATTACAGCAAAACAGAGCTAAGTTTAAAGAAGAAATAAATCTAGATTCTGTAATTAATTTTTATTACAGATTTGAGAGATTTGAAAGCTTTGGATCTTTGTGGCTCTTGCTTGCTGCTGGAGCTCATTGCATGGGGGGGTGTTAGGTAATCTAACTAGCACCTCGCTCACGTGACCCACATAGATTAGTTGAGATTCCCCTTTAGGTAGCTTAGTGAATAACAAGCATACAAGTCCTCCATCAGTTTCACTCTAGGATCAGGCCATGTATTCTTCCAGACCTCTGTTGATGTTGGCCTGTGCATCACTAGGTTAGTTAGTTAAATGCCTAGATAACTATACATGCTTGCAGATAATGGCAGGGTGGCCGGCCTTTCTTCGCCGTTCCTAACCGTTTTCCTGGAAGTCAGTGCGGAATGGGAAGTGCTCTGGCCTGCATAAGCGCGATGCGCGTCTTCTATGATAATGTTGGTTTCACTAATTAGCGGTGGGCGACGCATGAGATCGGGGATTTTCGCGGTCTCCACTGACTCCGCTGCCAAGGCTCTGCTGGCGGACGTCGCGCTGATCGAGAGCCCGCCGACAGTGGATGAAAATAATGATGGCCCATGTCTTAATGAGCTTTCTTTCAATATATATTGCGGTCAGCAAGGACATGGCAAACTCTCCTGCTGTGAAGGGGTACCTGGTTTTGTGAGCCTTTTCTAGAGTGCATAACTAAATTACTGCATCCAGGGTCCTTTGGGCAAATTTTCCGAACCAAGCTGCAGCTACCCCTCAGTCAACGAGCAACACAACTTCTTAGGAGAATAGTCAATGAGACATTTGCTACTTAGTTCAATTAAGATTGCTGATCTAAGGAACTTTTATCATCGCAACGCAGCCATGAGGAGGAGCCCTGAAAACAGCCCTGTCGAATCTTCTCAACCATCTACCAGCAAAGATCTCGTCCACCACCGTTTATCTTACCCGGTCCATTCCGTAAAACCCAGGGTATCTCTAGGCGGACACAGATTCATGCATCAATGCCACAGCCAAATTATGTGAAGATTGAGGAACTGATTTGAGAAGGTTGTCTTGGAACAACTGGAGCTGTATCACTGTCAGATCTCAGTTGCATTAGATTTCTCATTGTCAACTTGACAGTGAAATCCTGTAGGCCGCGGTCAGTCACGGGAGTGGAATTGTAGATATCTAGGATGACTTGCTGGAATAAAAATGGCATCCAAGTGTTGGCCCAATTCACATTCAACATTATGCTATGAAAGGGTCTTTGCGCCTTGTATCAACAGCCAATCCACGAGTGAATAGATTGAGATATGAAAGGATAGAGAATTAGAGAGAGCAACAGTTTCTGACTGGTCAGGTTCAGTTTACCCATCACTACCCCTGACTGTGGAAAGATGAGCTGGCTCTGCCCGCATTTCACTGTTTGACATAACATTGATAGGCATGTCATCACTAGTGGACTCGGTTGAGGCGGGTAGAGCAGGGTAGACTTCATAGTTAGAAGTGTAAAGATAGTTGATCATTGCTCTAACTAAGGCCGGATTTTCTTGCAGTTCAAAATTGCCCGCCAAAGCTTTCTGAAATATCCTAATTAGCTGATGGCTAGCTTGTGTTGCCATTTGAATTGATTCACAGCAAAACCAGTATCAAGAACTTTTGTAAATAAAACTGATTGTGTGCAAATTATGCACCAATGGACAGCGTGTGATTCACCACCACACAAAATAGTAAGATCACTGTATTTCATGTCATAACACAGAATGCAAGGTGGTTAGAATAACTCTTTACCCTTTCAAGCAGTGGGGAATACCTTGTCAAAACATCCAGGAGCTCTTTGTCAAGGCCAGGCTTGGAATTCTGAGGATTGTAAAGCTTGTCATGCTGACAACATGTTTTTTGCTCTTTTTCTTCCCTACCATGATATCCAGGTCTCTGCCAGTGCCAAGTTATGCCTTGGTTGCAGCTAACCTTCTTAGAAGACTGGGAAATCTGTTCCAGAGATAGACCTTATATTTCTGTGTCTCTATTCCATCAGATTCTAGTATGCTTTGATGTGGAAGCATGTCTGGGATGTGTCTGAGAAGTGGTATCTATAATCTGTATTTTGTTGTGAATGGACAATAATGTTTTCTTCCATAACATTCCATCTGTCAGAGCTGTATCATGTGTGATACACCTCAAGGATTGCAAGGTGGTCCAAGTAATTCTCCCTCTTTCTCTTCTCCTTTTCAACACTAAAGCTGATAATCTCAAGGGACAGAGGCAGATCAGTCATGTCTCAGCTATTGTAATGATGTGTTACAGCAGCCGACTGTGGTAGTACTACTAGCAGTAGTAGTTGCAAGTAATATCAAAATAGAACTCGCCTTGCAGCTGCTATTCCTGAGATATCCCATTTCCAGGGCGCAGTAAGATCCATCCATTTCTACCAATTGCCTGTCCAGCAAGCAGGCCTCATGATCTGTGTATACTTCTAATAATCAAGATACCAGCCAGCATATTCCAGTCAAGGATACCAGTAATGTGATAATTGTTATTAACCATGATGTTTTGTGGGGCAATGTTAGTGTGTGTGAAGACAGTCCATGATGATTGAGGAAGCATGTCTGGTAGCTCATTTTTATATTGCAGGCTGCTGAACTAGAGATAGCAGCAGTATATCTCGGTTCTGACATTTTTATCTGTGTATAGAGGGGTTCCAAAGTGGTCCAAGTCTTCAATTAAAGGGTTGAGAGTTGGTGAATTGTCAGCAAGGCACTGGAAGAAAGGTTTCAGGATAGGTGGTGTAGTGGAGATTCTGGTACCTTATTAGGACAAAGGTTGTTCTGGTCTGAGGCACAAATCACTCCAAAGCTACTATTCTTGAGCTATATAAATCATCTGTAGCCCCTGCATCTTGCTTATTATCTTCATGCACCATTGCTCTTTTCTACACACTTGTTCCTTACTACCAGTTTGGTTATTAGTTAGAGAATATGAAGATTTCTTGTTTATGAAACTTGCTACTGTTTCTCATTAGAGCTGCCTGTATTAGTATGAAGCTCTTTAGTACTATTACTTCTTGCAAGCTTAGGTGTCTGTTAGAACATATTTATCTCTACACTTACTACTTGACCATACTCTTACTATATGATGATTTTTTACCTTTCTTGTGCTCTCACCATATCAACCAACTCATCTACTTTGACAAGGCATCCCATTGTACCCTGCTCCATTTAGTGACCAAGCTGAGACCTGAAGATGATGATGCAGTAATTTGGTGACTGCCAAGAAGGAGAAAAATAAATTCTGAAACACATAAAGCAATATACTATTTCAAGATAAGATCTTATAAACTAGAAACACAGTACTAATCAGTTTTTTTTATTTAGAAATAAGATTAGAGAGCTTAGATTTAAATGTCTCTTATCTAGAGCTTGCCTGATAAACAGGTTTTTGGAAGATATTAACTAATAGACAGAACATACTGTGTGACATAACTAAAGATCAAGAAATCAAGAAATTGGAATCAGAATCAACTATGGCTGAAGATACTACAGAATCATATGCAACTATATTACAGAGTGAGAACAAGAGAATTGTGATTCATTCCCACATTTCTATATCTTCCCCTGGTACAGCAAATGTACCTTGGTTTGACAGCAGAGATACTACCCTGTTTATTGAAAGGTTTTATCAGATGTGCAAGGATCATGGGGTAATTAACTCTAAAAATATTATTGAATGGTTGGCTAAGTACTATGTTACATGAATTGGAGAATGGATGAAGACCTTGGAAGACTATAAAGAAGATAATTGGAAAGTATTCTCCAAAGAGATTATTCATGAATTTTGTGATCAAGATATTACTTATAAGATTCACTGTTGAGATTACCTCTGGACAATTACAAAGAAACCACATGCTTGGAATAGCAACATTCACATCTATGTTTGAGAATACACTACTATTGCCAGTACAGTTCAAGCAAATGAAAGACTTGATAAATTCACTAAGATGTCTTGATTTCTTCAGAAGCTATCTGAGAAGCTCTGAAATAAGATTATTGACAAGGCCAAGCTCAATCTTTCAGACAATATGTTGTCTATTGATTTTAGGAAAGTTGTTCAGGTAACTATGAATTTGATCAACCAGTATGAAGGGAATAAGAAGATCTTTAAAGAAGATGAAATAAAACAAAAGAAAATAAAAAAGCTTAGTAAGCAATATTAATTAGCTAACAAGCCCCCTACAGTTGAAGCTTCAAAGAAAACAGCTAGTTTTGCAAAGACTGAAGAATCCAAATCAAAAGCTAAAGTTAAGGGCTCTAACAGCACCAATATTAAAGCTGCTATTAAAAAGATGACCAACAACTTCATAAATTTGGCATTGGCCATGAGAGTACAATCAAATCAGATACAAGGGAATTCCAATCAGTATTATATGCTGCAGAGAGAAGAATCTCCAAAATCTATACCAAATTATCCAACAAATGTGACTGTTAATTCTATAACTGTACAAGAGAATACTCAACTGCCAGTCAACCTCTATTTGGCTTGAAATGACTCTTCTATAACAGGCTATAGTAGTGCTTGTGGATAAGGAAAAGCTTGAACTGGAGAAATTTCAACATGTTCCTCATGCTTTTACTGTGGAAAATCTGAACATCATCAATCTTAGTGTTATGAATACCAATCCAATATGAGTAATGGATACTGCCATATTGATGATGAAGAAAACTTACACATAGACTCTAAGAGTCAAAACTATTGAGCTGTCACTTCTAAATCTGGAATCCTGAACATGTATATTATACAGTCTATGAAAGAGAATGAATGAGCAATTCTGGAGTCAACAAGTTCTAAAAAAAAGATTAATCAGCAAGAAGAGATATCTTCTGCAAATTCAACCAGTGTAAAGATTCAAGCAGGACAGCTTGTATATCTAATATCTGATGGAGAATCTGATTTAAATAAGAAATATGAATCATTGCAAGAAAGAATATCAGTTAATATTGGAACAGTTGGAAAAGCTAAGAACAATCAAAAAGCTAAGATTGCAACACCTCATACTTAGTATACTGGACAATTTATTACTTACTGAAATAATCAGACTAGTGTTAATGATAATGTCATGGAAGATGTTGAACTGATTAATCAGAAGAAGTCTGAAATTCAGAGCAAGTCTGTAAAGAAACAAAAACCAAGATATTCTGCAACAGATTGCTTATTCTCTCAGATCTGTGATTCAACAGATGCTAATGAATTAATGGGTTGAATTCTCAATGAAAAAGTTGAATTGTCAGTTAAGAAGCTTATAGGTGTATCATCAAAGCTTCATCAAGTGTTTTTTGAATCAGACTGGAATAACAGTACTAGCAAAAGCTATACAAGAGTTGGAGTCTCCAAACCAGTTCAGTCTGAGCTAAAGATCAATTCTGGTTGACTTACTTCAAAGCTCATGGTGCCAAAATCCAAAACAGCATATGGAATGTGTTTGTTATATGCACCAGTCACTATAAACCAACAAGAATTAATGGTGTTGATTGATACTGGTTCAGAAATCAATTTGTTGTCTTGAAAGTACACTGAAATATTGAAATTGCCAATGAAAAATAAGCCACAAGTGACCATGGTTGTTCAAATGAGAGAAGTTACTTCTTTTTACATGTTTTGTGATGAGGTGCCTATTCAAATTAAAGATATTGTTACACATACCCCTTTTCTTATATTTGAGAAAGAGGATCAGCAACTTATTCTTGGAAGATCTTGGCAATTTGCTGCCTGTTGAGGATGCAACACCTCAGATGACAGAGGAGTGAACTGTGAAATTTATAACAAGAAATGAATATGTTATCTAGTTTTTGAAGGCTTTAAGCCAAACTCAAGCAATATAAGATATGCAACTGATAAATCAAACAGTAATCATTTAAATGATTCAATAGATATTTAATCAGGTGAGTGCCTGAAGATACAAGGCCTGAGAAGAATAAAGAAGATGTTGTAGTGAGGATTCTGGTACCATATTAGGACAAAGGTTGTTCCAGTCCGAGGCACAAAACCCCCCCCAGCTACTATCTCTGAGCTATATAAACCACCCATAGCCCCTGCATCTTGCTCAATACCTTCACACACCTTTGTACTTTTCTACACACTCATTCTTTATTGCTAGTTTGGTTATTAGTTAGAGAATATGAAGATCTCTTGTTTATGAAGCTTGCCACTGTTTCTTATTAGAGCTGCCTGTGTTAGTACAGGCTCTTTAGTACTATTATTTCTTATGACCTTAGGTGTCTGTTAAGGCATGCTTCTCTGTTCTTACTACTCAGCCATTACCATCCTTACTATATTGTGATTTTTCATCCTTCTTGCGCTCTCACCATCTCAACCAACTTGCCTACTTTGACAAGGCATCCCATCATACCCCACTTCATTTGGTGACCAAGCTGAGACCTGAAGATGATGATGCAGTGATTTGGTGGCTGTCAAGAAAGAAAAACAAATTCTGAAACACATGAAGCAATACACTATTTCAAGATAAGATCTTATGGACTAGAAATACAGTACTAATCAGGTTTTTGTTTAGAAATAAGATTAGGGAGCTTAGATTTGAATGGCTCTTATCTAAAGCTTGCCTGATAAATAGATTTTTTGGAAAGATATTGAATTATTGAGAAACAACAGAACATACTGTGTGACATGACCAAAGATCAAGAAATCAAGAAATCAGGATCAGAATCAACTATGGTTGAAGGTACTACAGAATCATACACAACTATGTCACAAGGTGAGGACAGGAGAATTGTGGTACACTCCCAGATTTCTATGCCTTCCCCTGGCATGGCAAATGCACCTTGATTTGATGGCAGAGATGCTACCTTGTTTATTGAAAGGTTTTATCAAATGTGCAAGAATCATGGGGTAATTGACTCTAAGAACATTATCAAACCGTTGGCTAGATACTGTGTTACATGGATTGGAGAATGGATGAAGACCTTAGAAGGCTACAAGAAAGGTAATTGGGAAGTATTCTCTAAAGAGATTATTCATGAATTTCATGATCAGAACATTACTTACAAGATTCACTATCAGAATTATCTTCAAGCAATTACAAAGAAACCACATGCTTGGGATAGCAACATTTGTGCCTATATTCAAGAATACACTACTATCACCAGTACAGTACAAGCCAATGGAAGGCTTGATGAATTCACTAAGATGTCTTGGTTTCTTCAGGAACTGCCTGAGAAGCTTCAGAATAAGATTATTGATAAGGCAAAGCTCAATCTTTCAGATAATATGTCACCTATTGATTTTAGGAAGGTTGTTCAAGTGATTATGAATTAGATTGATCAGTATGAAGGGAATAAGAAGGTCTTTAAAGAAGATGAAATGAAGTAGAAGAAAATGGAGAAGCTTGGTGAGCAATATTAATTAGCTAATAAACTCTCTACAGTTGAGACTCTGAAGAAAACAGCTAGTTCTGTAAAGACTGAAGAATCTGAATCAAAATCCAAAGTCAAGAGCTCTGAGAGTACCAATATTAAAGCTGCAATTGAAAAGATGACCAACAAGTTTACAAATTTAGCATTAGCCATGAGAGTACAGTCAAATCAGATACAAGAGAATTCTGATCAGTACTATATGCTGCAGAGAGAAGGGCCTCCAAAACCCATACCAAATTATACAACAAATGTGATTACTAATTCTGCAATGGTACAAGAGAACACTCAACCACAATTAGTTAATTCTTATGTGGCTCAAAACAGTTCACCAATGACAAGCTATTATTCTAGTGACCAAGGAGGGGCTTGAACTGGAGAAATTTCAATATGTCTCTCATGCTTTTACTGTGGAAAATCTGGACACTGTCAATCTCAGTATTATAAATACCAATTCAATGCAAATAATGGGTTCTGTCATATTGATAATGAAGGGAACTTGCACATGGATTCTCCTGGTTAAAACTATCAAGTTGTCACTCCTAAACCTGGAATACCAAACATGTATATTGTACAGTCTATAGGAGAGAATGAATGGACAATTCCAGAGTCAACAAGCCCTAAAAAGAAGACCAATCAGCAAGAAGAGACACCTCTAGCAAATTCAACCAGTGTAAAGATTCAAGCAGAATAACTTGCATACCTAATGTCTGATGAAAAATCTGATTCAGATAAGAAATATGAACCACTGGAAGAAAGAACATCAGTCAATGTTGGAACTGTTGAAGAAGCTAAGAACAGTCAAAAAGCTAAGATTACAACACCCCATACTCAGCATACTGGACAATTTATTACCTACCAGAATAATCAAGCTAGTGTCAATAACAATATCATGAAAGACATTGAACTGATCAATCAGAAGTAGTCTGAAATTCAGAACAAGACTGTAGAGAAACAAAAACCAAGATATTCTGCAACAGATTGTTTATCCTCTCAGATCCATAATTCAACAGATGCCAATGAATTAATGGGTTAAATTCTCAATGGGAAGGTCAAAGTGTCAGTCAAGAAGCTTATAGATGTATCACCAAAGCTTCATCAAGCATTCTTCAAATCAGATTGGAATAACAGTACTAGCAAAAGCCATGCAAAGATTGAAGTCTCCAAACCAGTTCAGCCTGAGCTAAAGATCAATTCTGGTCAACTTACATCAAAGCCCATGGTACCAAAATCCAAAACAGCATATGGAATGTATTCATTATATGCACCAGTTACTATAAACCAACAAGAATTAATGGCATTAATCAATACTGGTTCAGAAATCAATTTGTTGTCTCAGAAGTACACTGAAATGTTGAATCTGCCAATAGAAAATAAGCCACAAGTAACCATAGTTATTCAAACAGGAGAAGTCACTTCTTTTTATGTGTTTTGCGACAAAGTGCCTGTTCAGATTGGAGATATTATTATCTATACCCCTTTTCTTATATTTGAGGGAGGGGATCAGCAACTTATTCTTGGAAGACCTTGACAATTTGCTGCCTGTTGAAGATGCAACACCTCAGATGACAGAGAAGTAAACTGTGAAATTTATAACAAGAAATAAATGTGTTGTCTAGTTTTTGAAGGCTTTAAGCCAAGCTCCAGCAACATGAGATATGCAACTGATAAATCAAACAGCAATCATTTAAACAATTCAACAGGTATTTAATCAGGTGGGTGCTTGTAGATACAAGGCCTGAAGAGGATAAAGAAAATGCAACAAAGATAATGGGTATAAGAATTAATGATGAGAAGGTTGAAGGTCAGGAGGTTGAAAAGAATAGAGAAGTTGGAAGTGTTGGCAGCAGTACCAGCATTGGTGACTACAGTAATAAGGAGAAATATAGTTCCAGCAATGGTGAATCCAAAAGCACACTAGGCCTAATTGGATTGACCAGTGTGCTGGTGAATCAAATGAACCAATCAGAGGACAAGAATAATTTTGTATCAGGAGTTCAGATTTTCCATTCTTCACTTCCTAATCCAGACAGTGTTACAGCTCACTGCAAACATTACACATGTGATATTAATTCCAGCTTAATTTGAAAACCTATTCCACAAAGTGCTCAATCAATTTACACATCTCTGAACAAAAATTACAATTTTGTCATGAAGAAATCACATCAAGTTGACATTTTTAATAGTGGCTGGAACATCAGGCTGCCTTCTTCAGAAGTCTGGAGAGTGTGCACTGCTTATAAGCAGAAAGCTGATAAGATAAGACTATTAGCACCTGGAAAATCTGATGGAAGCAAACTGGAAGATCTCAATAATTGGGTGGATATTTGTTTGGATAAGTATTACTCTGAGGAGAAACACATCACATTTAATTGTAAATTTGATGACCATATTAGATCTAGAATTGCATCTTTTCCTGTTGGAGAATGGCTAACAAATGAGAGAATTGAGAAGCTCAAAATTGGATTTGAACTAACAAGTCAGGAGAAGGAATTTTTCATATCAGTTCTTTATAAATGTGAAGGGGCATTGGCATGGTCATTTAAAGATCTATATGGCATTCATTCTGAATGCTTGCCTCCACAGGTTATTAAGACAGAGCCTCATGAAGCTTGGTAGACTAAGACTTACTGAATTCCTTGTGCTCTACATGATAAGCTAATTAAAATCATTCAGGACAGGTTAGAAGCTAAAACATTAGAGCCTTGCCATGGTTCATATACCAACCTCTATTTTCTGGTCACAAAGAAACAGAAAGGCAAATATTGTTTAGTTGATACAGCACATATGTACAACAAAGTTACTATTCAAGATGCTTTTATTTCTTCTAATATTGATGAATATGCTGAAGACTTTGGTGAACTTGTTATGACTAGCCTATACAACTTGTTCTCTGAATACAATAATTTTCCATTAGCTGAAAAGAGCAGGGATATGACAGCCATTGCAACTTCTATTGGGCTCTTTCACCATACAACTTTAGTCCAAGAGGCAATGAATTCACCAGCTCAAGCCCAACACAGGATAATGAAGATTATATGAGAAGTTTTTCCAGAGATTACTCAAGCCTTTATAGATGATCTTGGAGTAAAGAAATTGTGTGTCAAAGATGAAACTGAAGTCCTCCCAGAAATAAGAAGATTTGTTTATGACTATCTGCAGAATATGGACTATATTCTATGGCTTGTTGAAATCTCTGGAGCTAGAATCTCCAGCACCAAATCTCAATTCTGCATGTTTGGAGTCAATGTCATTGGATGGATCTGTAACTATGACAGACAATAATCTGAGAAAACTAAGGTGGCTAAAATTGCAAATTGGCCTACTTCTATGAGTGTTACAGAATTACAAGGATTTCTAGAGCTTGCTGGATATTTCCAAATACTTATAGAGCATTACAGTTGAATAACTGAATCTTTACATTCTCTGCTTCAACAAAACATTATATGGTCATGGACTGAAGAGCAAAATGATGTCTTTATGCTTTTGAAGGAAAAGTTATATTCATTTTCTATTGTTCTTTCAATCAATTATGGACAAGATCCTTTGCTTATCACTGTGGCTGTTGATGCCAGTGAATTAGAATGGGGAGGATGCATTATTCAGGAGTAACAAGAGGCTTGACATCCTGCATGATACAAATCCAGGGTGTGGAATGATTCAGAGAAAACATATGATGCTGGCAAATGAGAATGCAGAGCTGTTTTGAAAGCCTTCAAGAAATTCTAACACCATATCTATGGAGTACCCTTTATCTTGGAAATCAATGCAAAAACTCTTGTCGCCTAACTTAATAGGACTGCTACAGATGTTCCAGGAGCTTTAGTTACTAATTGAATAGCTTGAATATGTCTCTTTGACTTTACTGTTAAACATGTTCCTGGGACAAAACACACAGCTGCTGATAGACTATCTTACTGAGAACTAGATATTGAGGAACAGTCTGAATCTGAAGAAGATGAAGATCTGTTTGCCTTTATGGATTCTATAAGAGTTTTAGCTGGCTGAGCTCTGGATAGTGAAGACCTTAGAATACTGGACTTCACATATTCAGAAGAATCAGAGAAAATTGCATAATACCTAACCACCCTATGAAAACCATTAGGCATGGAAGAAAAAGAGTATATGAGATTCCAAAGAAAAGCAATTAAATATGTGGTGGAGGCTAATCAGCTATTTAGGTAAGCAGGATCTGGTGTGTCTCTAAGATATATTGTGGACAACAAAGAACAGTGTGAACAAATTTTACACATAATGCATGATGAATTTGATCATAAAGAATGAGAGAGAATGTACTCTGCTCTATAAGCTTGATACTGGTGGTTAGAAATGTATAAAGATGTGTCTGCTTATATAAAGTACTGTTCTCAATGTCAACAAAGAGATTTATAAAGATTGAGTGAAGAGCTTCATCCTACCTGGGCTTCTATCTGTTGGGAGAAAGTTAAGATGGATATCAAGCACATGCTTTTCTGTTGAGGATGAAATTATTTGATTGTTGCCAGATGTGACTTCACTAGATAGATGGAAGCTAGAGTCTTGAAAAAGGCAACAGCTGAAGCTGTGGCCAAATTTCTTTATGAGAATATCATCTGTTAATAGGGCCTGCCTGCCAAATTTGTTATGGATGAAGGATCAGAGAATAAGAATGTTGTGGAGACCTTACTGAAGAAATTCAACATTAAATATATTGTTATTTTGCTCTATAATCCTCCTGTAAATGATATGGTGGAAGTTGGCCATAAGTCTTTGGCTGATGAGCTAGCTAAAGCTACCAATGGCACTGGAAGAGATTGGATTAAACATCTTCCTGCAATTCTGATAGTGGATTGAATGATGACTAAGGCTAGTACTGATATCTCTTCTTATAGATTGCTAATAAGTCAGAAGACAGTTCTTCTGATTGAACTCAAGATTTCTACTTGACAAACAATTTTCTGATGAAAGATTTGAATAGCTGAAGATCTGCTTCTGATATAAGTACAGTAAATTAAAAGATAAGATGAGAATGTTCTGGAAGCAGCTCATCATCAGCTCTGAATATGTACTAGAAATAAGAAATACTTTAATGATATCCATAATATTTGGACCAACTCTCTTCTACCTAGAGATCTTGTCTTGCTTCACAATATCAAAAGAGAACAGAATATGTCTAGGAATAACATTCTGTGCTTTTAATGGCTAGAACTCTATAGAGTTAAGTCTGCTAATCAAGAACTAGGTTCCTATCATCTTGAAGAGTTAGACAGCACTGAACTCAAAGAATCTATTGCAAGAAACAGATTGAAGAAGTATCTTATAAAATCTGGAATGGAGCCATTCAATAATAGCCCAGCAGATTCTAATGTAGAGATGGGGAATGTCTCTCAAAGATATGCCACCAGAAGTTGATCTAACATTTTCTCTAGCAGTTTCTTGGATGTTAGCATCTTGAATCAGAGTGAAAATAAAAATGATCAAGAAGAAATGAAGCAAATATGATTTCTAACTATTATATCAGATGACTGGAGCTTTGCTGTTGTTATACCTCCACAAGATGTTTAATTTGTTGTGTTTTGTTTGCAAAAGTGAAGTTTTTTACTTGCTTATTCAGGAAGTTTCTTTTATTTGCCTGCAAAGTGAAGTTTTTGCTTGCTCTTTTGGGAAGTTTCTCTTTCTTTGTTATTTGCTTAGCATTCACTTTTTCAGGAGATATTTAAAGGTCAATTTTTCTATGCTGAAGCTTTTACTTTTTTTTACATTCAAGCTTGATTCTTTTTACAAATTCAACATTTTCTTCTATTCTGTTATTCTGACATTTGCAAATTTTTTAATCTCTGATATTCTTCAAAAATAGCTGGATGAAGCAACCTGCCTCCTTTAGCACCAGCAACTGAAAACCAAGGTCTGGTCATTACTAGAGACAGTGGAGTCAACTTGAATAGCTATTTCTTCAATGATCTAACAGCAGCTATAGAATACATTGATAACCAAGCTCTACACTGTCAATATGGTCTACAAGTTGAGCTGATGAATACACCTATGTGAGTGACTGATGTGATCACTGACTTAGTGACCCATTTCTATTGATATGTTGAAAGATCCAGAGCTTGGCAACATGTTACATACACCAATTTTGAAGCTGATTTTCATGATGCTTAAAAGATTACTCTGGATGTTGAACAACATTGCATTGATATACAAAAGATCAAGAATAGGCTTGTCACTACATGGGGGATAGACAGAATTAATGTCATATGGCCAAAAGTGAAGAGTCTGTGGGCTGCACAAAAGCTTCATCATATTCTAAATATCTACAAGAATTGGGATAAGTTCACCAACAATATTAACAGCACAGTGCTTCAAAGACTAGATGCTACAGAAGCTGGACATTACTGGAGCTTAGCTATATTGTCAGATGATTATACTATAGCTGACAAAGAAGTTAATTGCACTTGTGAACTTTCTTCAAGAGATGCTCTACATCAACAAGAACTTACTATTGGAAACTATAATCTTCTACAGCCATTGGCTCTTTTACAGTCATCTAGCTCCTAATGTTCAATTCAGAATATCACTAGAAGCCCTCCCACTGCAAGCAGCCCCTGAGATCTACTAGAAGGACTACAATCACCAAGATCATCAAGAGATGTTCCAATGAGTGTAATGTTAATGCTGCATAGCCACAATGTATCAGAAGCCTCTATATATAGTACAATGTCAATTAGATCACATGGATTGGAAACTGGCCAATTACAGCTGTTATTTGGATTCACCAGTGTGCTGACCAATCCACCCAGCCAATCAGAAGCTCCAAAGCATCACAGTAAAAGAATCACAGCCATGTCAGCACACCAAACTCTCCAAGATCTAGGCAATGAAGATGAGTTTGTTATTCCTCCTGAAAGTGATGAGGAAATACTCTGACATGAGCAAGAAGAATCTGTCATGGCAGTACATTCTGGTACTTGCCATTACTGTAATTTCAGACAGCAGCTTCTCCAAAAGATAAAAAGTACTAAAATACATTCAGAGTTGGAGCTTATTCACATTCTGGAGCAGTTAGGAAAGGTCTTTAGCAATAAGAAAGCTGACATCTACCTATACTATAACCATGCTAAACTAATAGCTTTAAAACTTGGTTTACAGACTCACACACTTAATAGAGAGGAGCTTCTCAACTATTTAGCTTACATTCATAGGAATTGTTGCAACATTAGCTCAGTCAAGACTAATAACAGCACCTATCTCTGGTTTTATTTAGTAAATAGACCAGCTAAAGGTGAAGATGCTTTAGGCATTTACAAATTCAAATATCAGCCAATTATCTCTCTGGTTACAAAGATGAAGATCTTTGACTTTAATCAATATACACAAATAACTAGAGTTAACAAGTTTACCACCAGCAATCTTCAGAAGAAATAGAAAATAACTGAGTTTGTTGTCATTTTCCAGCTAATGTGCTGGTGGAACAATAAATTACAAGGCATTATTATTACAGTACTCATCCAGGTCAACAGCAAATACAACATGTACTATCATTATTAGTGAATGATGGGAGGTTGTGATAATTACAGATGGTTGAGAACAATGTATCACAGTATTAATCAACAACTTATATGCCAGAACCCTGCATACTATCTATAATATGTACTGACAAGACCCAACCACACTTGGAAATTAATCTCCTATCCATACTATGCCAAGTATGCTAAGCCAGGGGATAAAACTGGGTTTTGCCATATTGATGTTAATGTTCCAGATGCTATTACTACTGGAAGAAGCATTAACATGATACAAGAATTCTTGATTTTAACTGCAGAAGAGTCTGGCAACTGTACAGAAATCTTGCCAGAAATGCATAATTATCTAGAGAATTAATGGGGACTAGTCAAAGAACAAGACTTATCTACTGATGGCTATATTCACCACATTAAAGATACAATGTATATTAAAGATAACAAAAGAAAATTTAATATTAGGTGGACCAACATTATTTACAAGTCTGGCAATGTCTGAATTACAAGCTCTCTGCTACTCTATAGAGCTCATGGTCCATGCAAAAAGGTCCAGTATACTATGCTACCCTGGTATGTGGCAATCCAAGAGAACCATGAACATCTAGAAGTCAATAAAGCTGGTATATGATTCCAGCTCTCTGCTGTATATAGAGATCTAGTTCCAGGGCCTTCATCTCCATTCAGTCATTCAAATTGTTACAGATCAGTTCCATATCAATTCCCTACTGCTATTCAATTACAAGGCTTAGAAGCTATATCAGATGCCCTGGTAGAACAAATTAGGTGGAACAACTCCATAGTAATTGAGAAACTCAATATTCTCTTTGGCTCTGATGACAAAAAGGCTCAGGACTTCATTAATAACTGGTGCCTAAAGATCACACAAATTGCTCTGAATGCCATTGTCAAGACTTACCAAATTGAAAAGAAAGCTTTTGATAATAAATTCTATTGGTATTGCATGCACAACAACATTAATCCAGCATTAATTCAGTCTTTTTCCTCTCTCAAGAACTTGATGGAAGAAGAGAATTATAATAATTATTATTAGAGATTGCTGCTATCACTCTTCTTATTCTTATTTTCTATATTTTTTCTTACCAGACTGCTCATTACTATTTATTATTCTCTTATTTTACTAAATTAGTTTTATTTTATTTTATATGTTGTTTGTTGTCAGAGAACACCAACATTGAAGATCAGAAGAAAATGTAGTGGAGATTCTAGTATCTTATTAGAACAAAGATTGTTTCAGTCCAAGGTGCAAACCACTCTAAAGCTACTATTTTTAAGCTATATAAACTATCTGTAGCCTCTGCATCTTGCTTATTATCTTCATGCACTATTGCTCTTTTCTACACACTCATTTCTTACTACCAGTTTGATTATTAGTTAGAGACTACAAAGATTTCTTGTTTATGAGACTTGCTACTGTTTCTTATTAGAGCTGTCTGTATTAGTATGGAACTCTTTAGTACTATTACTTCTTGCAAGCTTAGGCATCTGTTAGAACATATCTATCTCTACACTTACTACTTAACCATACCCTTACTATGTGGTGATTTTTCACCTTTCTTGTGCTCTCACCATATCAATCAACTCACCTACTTTGACAAGGCATCCCATCGTACCCCGCTCCAGTGGTTGAGGGATTTCTCAGAGTTTGGTGATTTGATCCCATATTTCATGGTATATTAATCTTTTTGTTTCACTATTCAGCTTATCTCACAGGCTTTCCAGTGTAGTACCTGGAATAGTTGTCATTCCAATCTCACTACTGCAATCATCAATAAGGCTGTAGATAACTTCAGGAAGAGGGACAGAGATGTGCTTCACTATCAGTTTCATGGCTTCAACCTCAAAGCACCTTACAGCCATTCTGCCCTTGGAAATATATGAATAATCTTGCTCAAGAATCAAGCAACCACCTTGCTTGCTTAGAACAGTAATGACATCTCCTTCTAATAGCAGTTCTTTCTTTGCATCAGGTGGAATTTTGAAGAGCTTTGTATCTAGTTTGAGATAAGTCTCGCCCACATAGAGATTTTCATATGCAAATAGAACACCATTCTCAAGATTGAGTGTGCTTTCTGATTTGCCTGCTGTTAAGCCAGTGACTGAGGTGTTGGATGCCATTGCTTCAAGTACTTGAGCTTGGTTTCTACAGGTCTGGAAAGAGAATTTCCTTCATTGCCTTACTTCAAACACTTGACACTCAGCAATGAATACATTGCTAGCTATTTGAGCAACCAATGCCTTGGAAGCTCAAGGTGTCCGGAATATTTGTTTTCCCAACTCTAGCCAACCTGATGGAGGACTTGTATACTTGTCATTTACCAAGCTACCTAAAGGGAAATCTCAGCTAATCTATGTAGGTCATGTGAGCAAGATGCTAGTTGGATTATCTAACACCTCCTCATGCAACAAGCTCCAGTAGCAAGCAAGAGCTACAAAGATTCAAAGCTTCCAAATCTCTCAAATCCATAATAAAAAATTAATTACAGAATTCAGATTTATTTCTTCTTTAGACTTAGCTCTGTTTGCTGCAATACTGTATTTTTGCTGACTTTACTAATAAATCTCTATATTTTTCTGTATCAACTTGTCACCTCTATTACACTTATAAATTGAGTGTAGGGATTCATTGCAAGAGTCTTTATAAGCTTATCAGCTTTATTCATATTGATTTCAACATGCTTGATTGAGATTTTATTCTTTTGAATCCAGTCTCTTAATATATAGTGCTGAATCTTAATATAATGTGCTTTTTGTGTTATAGCTTTAGCTTTGGCTAAGTCAACTGCTCTCTTGTTGTCAATACTTAATTTTGAGCTTCTTAGCTTTGCTGAGTCTTCACTAATCACTCTAATATCTATTAAGAGATTATTGATTCAAACTAGTTCACAAGCAGCTTCACTAGCTGTTAAATACTCTACTTTGATTGTAGATTTTGAGATGGACATCTGATACTGTGATCTCCATAATATTGAAGCTCTGTTCATGGTAATAATGTAGCTGCTGGTGAATTTGTATGCAGGGTTAGCTTCAGCTCAGTCAGAATCTGAACTGACTGCTAGTTTTAAGTCTTCAGAATTTATATTTCTTTTGAAGACTATTTCTTTTGATTTTGTGCTCTTAAAATAGTGTAGAATCTGCTTGAATGCTGCCCAGCTCTCTCTATTAAGTCTGCTGTTGACTCTTGCCAGATAATTAACTGTGAATGCAATATCCAGTCTTGTACATGTAACTAGAAACTGTAGAGAGCCCAGGCCTTTTCTGTAATTTGTAGGCATATTCTGCTTGTTAACTTTATTTTTGAAAGTCTGATCTGGCACAAATTAGAGTGGTACCCAGTTCCAGAATTTCCTGTCCTGGTCCTGGATTTCCATCCCAATTCCCATCCCAAGAATGGGATTGGGTTGAAGCTCAGCTCAACTGAATAGAACTGGGTTGTTTAACAGCATATTGAGATAGTTCCATAGAAGCTGGAATCAGAATGAAATTGGGACCAGAATCAAAATCTAGCTAATAAAATAAGCCCAGGACCTGGCCATGACAAAATAGAATAAAATCAGAATTTCAATTTTGTATATGGGACAGGATCAGTAAAGTCTAGAATAGAACTGGAAATCCCAGTTTCATTTATATTATCAAAAGATAACAAAATTTGGTAACAGTCTTAACATAATTTTATCAATTTATTCAACTTTGGAAAAGTAACAAAATTTGGTAATACTTTTTGCATAATTAGATCATATTGCAAGCTATTAGGCTTTAGCTACTTGTCTATCTATTAATAACATTGACACATTTTCTGTTTCTTATCAGAATTAAGTAGTGAATTTAGCAGGCTTGCAATTTCTTTTCATACAATCTCTAGAGTATTTTGATTATCTTGATTATCTTGAATGACTTTCTTGGCCAACTTCTCATGCAATATAAGTGCTTCATTCAGCATATGCACCTTGTCTTCATGTTTAAGTAGCATGATCTTCTTGATTGTAGATGTATAGAGCCACAATTATCAATAATGACATGTATCTCAAGCAATATTGAAAATCTGTTCTACCCCAATCTCTATTAAAGATACAGCCAGAATGTCTCTTGTCATTCAAGCAACAGTTAAAAAATGAGACTCTAGCATTCTCTACTGTTCCAGAATTGAAGCTTAAGATGATGTCAAATTCTCATCATTTAAATATCACTGCATTTCATTTTCAAAATTTGCTTGTCTTTAATGGGGTCTCTCAAAAATTATTTACTTAATATTCTAGAGAAGTTAGCAGAGTGAAAATCAGAATAATAATTATAATAAACATACATTATTTATATTAAGTATTACTTCTCTTGACTATTTATATTTCTTATAATGCTTTTTGTAAAATCTCAAAATATGTTGTCAGTATATTTCATACTCATTACTGGTTTAATTCTCTGAATCATATACTCTCATGCAGTATGATAAATAAAGAGCAGCAGCTACAGCTAGCAGCTCACTTTTTAAATACTCAGTATTACTATAGTATTTCTGGAATTTCAAGCTGGCAGCTTTGATAGCTTCTTCAATATTCTCTCTTGTTATTAACTGTTGGGTCTTGTGCTTCTCTCTTTCTAAATGCTGGAAAAGATGATTGTAGATTGCCCATACTAGATAAATTATTAGATCTGTTGTTTTGAACAGTATCTTGATAAATCAACTAAATAACTGCAACAGTCTAACTATATACTCTATCTGCTTTCAGTCATGGTTCAATAAGTAAAGTCTTTAGTATTTTGATGATAAGTTCTGGATTCATAAGTCTACAGCTTGTCAAAGCAACAAGATACAAACACACATCTTATAGATAAAATTTCATCTTGTGCAAATATCTTAAATTATCTTGTGCCAGGTGGCTTACTGGTAAAATGAGCTGCAGGTGCACTCCAGGGTGCGAGGTTCAAATCCTTCAACTGGCACACTTTTTTACCCACCAAAGTTGCAGTGCAAAAGGCAACCCATGTATGCTCATGGCTTTACTAAGCTACTTACTATCTTTTACCTAATGATAACTGATGATTGGGTAGAGATAGTGGGTCCACCTAGCATCTGGTAAAGCTAAAATGAATGCAAGTGGGTAGGCTTCACTGCACTACTAAAAGCTACTTACTATCTGTTACCTAATGATAACTGATGATTGGGTAGAAATAGTAGGTCTATCTAGCATCTGGTGATGCTAAAATGATGTGAGTGAGTAGGCTCCACTGCACTACTAAAAGCTACTCCACCTAGTAATCCAATAATAACTAATAATTGAGTGACTAAGTGGGGCGCCAATTCAGGAGAATGGATTTGAAAACCACCCAACAAGGGCACCCCTGGTTATCTCTTGAGATAATTGGTTAGTTATTAATGGCGAGACTGTGACAGCTAATTGGCAGGCTAGGATGCTGAGATTAGCAACTGGAAGGCGGGGTTTAGTAGCTAGTAGACTAGCTAGCTTCTAGAACTAGTTACTAGATCAGTAGGCTGGGCAGTAGTGGCTTAACTAGAATCAGAATGGTTAATGCTGGCTTGAGAGCACAGTTTGCAGTGATCAGTTATTATAGGCACATGTATAATAGCTTAAGGTGTATCCCTCTGTGTTTGCATTCCCTACAGGCCTGGTTGACCCCTGGATAGGCCTTAGGGACTCCAGAGCTAGGGCGGCTGTAGGGCCAGGGGTCTGGAAAATACTCAAGAAAAAGAGATTTTTAAAGCATATAAATATACCAAAGAAAAAAAAGTGGAAAAAACTCCTATTCTAGAATTCTCAAACTCCAAAAATGAAATAGAAAATAAAGGTATTTCATTTAAAGAGAAATGCAATGCTTTTATAAAAACTCTTTTTAGAGAACCACCAAGTTATCCACCAATAAATTGGAATGAATATCATGAAAATCCAGATTGGGAATGGCCTAATCTTCAAGAAATAGAGATCAAGAACTCTATTTTTTCAGGCTTCAAAACCAGTACACCTGGCCCGGATGGTATATCTTTTCTTATACTACAAACAATCTATCTAGTACTTAAAGATAGATTTTTCAAGTTATACTCTATACTATTTGAAAAGGAATATCATCCAGAAATCTGGAGAGAAGCTACTAGACTTATTCTAAAGAAACCAAATAGAAAAGCTTCATTACCAAAATCTTACAGAAGTATCTCTCTACTTAACTGCTTGAGAAAAGTTATAGAGAGAGTTATTACTTCTAGACTTTCTTATTGGGCCTCCCAAAATAAACTACTATATTTTGATCAGTTTGGAGGAAAGAAGCAATACTCTGCTATAAATGCTGTAATGAGCTTAGTATATGATATTCAATTAGCAAAAGCCAATAAATTAGTAGCCTCAGCTCTTTTTATTGATATAAAAGGAGCATTTGACTATGTTTCACTAAATAGACTATTAAAAGTCTTCTCTGATTTGCAACTACCTAAATCACTAGCTATGTGGATTTTTCATTTTATGCAAACAAGAAAAATCCAACTGGTTTTTGATGGTGAGAAACAACAAGAAAAGATATCTATAAATATTGGAATTTCTCAAGATTCACCTCTATCTCCAATACTTTTCTCTATATATACTATATTTCTCTTTAAGAATAATAATGATCTAGATCTTAAAGATATCAGAATTCCTAGTTATATAGATGATACTGGACTTGTTGTCTTCTCTTCCTTATTAGAAGAAAACTGCTTTAAGTTAGATAAAGCTTTACAAGCAATGTCTAATAGACAAGATTCTCATGTAGTTTAATTTGATATGGAAAAAACTGAGTTAATCTACTTTACTAAATCATTTAGTGAAGATAACTCAGTTAAACTATATGATCAAGTTTTTAAACCAAAAAAGCTAGTGAGATGGTTAGGTATTTGGCTTGACAATACTCTTACTTTCAAGAACCATGTTGAAATTAAGATATCAGCTGCTGAAAGAGTTCTTAATCAAATAATTAAACTTTCAAATACTGAAAAAGGTCTTACTTTTCAAGCTATGAGATAACTTTATATAGCTTGTATTACTTCAGTAGATGATTATGGTGTTCAGATTTGGTAGAGTGGTATCCAGTTCCGGGATTTCCCGTTCTGGTCCCAGATTCCTGTCCCAATTCCTGTCCCAAGGACGGGATCAGGTTGAAGCTCAGCTTAATGGAATGGGACTGGGTTGTTTAACAGCATATTGGGACAGTTCTGTGGGAACTGGGATTGGGATGGGATTGGGACCAGGATCAAAATCTAGCTAGTAGAATGGGCCCGGGACCTGACATAACAAAATGGGATAGGACTGGAATTTCAATATTGTATATGGGATGGGACCAGTAAAGTGTAGGATGGGACCAGGAACCCTGGTCCCATTTGTGTTGTCAAAAAGTAATGAAATTTGGTAATGGTTCTAACATAATTTTATCAATTTATTCAACTTTAGAAAAGTACTGAAATTTGGTAATGCTCTTTGCATAATTGGATCATATTGCAAGCTATTAGCTACTTGAGTCTATCTATTGATAATGTTGATGTATTTTCTGTTCCTCATCTGAATTAAGTAGTGGATTTAGCAGGCTTGCAATCTCTTTCTGTACAATCTCTGAAATATCTTGATCATCTTGATTGTCTTGGATGACTTTCTTGACCAACTCCTCATGTGATATGAGTGCTTTATCCAGCATATGCACCTTATCTTTATGTTTAAGCAGCATGATCTTCTTGATTGTAGATGCATGGAGCTGTAATTGTTGATAATGATATGTATCCTGAACAACATTGAAAACCCATTCTATCCCAACTTCTGTCAAAGGTATAGCCAGAATGTCCCTTGCCATTCAAGCAACAGTTGGAAAATCAGGCTCTAGCATTCTCCACTGTTCCAGAATTGGAGCTTGAGGTGATGTCAAATTCTTGTCATTTAAATATTGCTCCATTTCATTTTGGAAATTTGCTTGTCTTTAATAGGATCTCTCAAAAATCATTTGCTCAATATTCTAGAGAAGTTAGTAGAGAAGAAATCAGAATAATACTTATAACAAACATACATTATTCACATCAAGTATTACTTCTCTTGGCTGTTCATATTTCTCATAATACTTTTTGTAAAACCTCAAAATATATTGTTGGTATGTTTCATGCTCATTACTGGTCCAATTCTCTGAATCATATGCTCTCATGCAGCATGATGGATGGAGGACAGCAGCTACAGCTAGCAGCTCATTCTTTGGATGCTCAGTATCACTATAGTATTTCTGGAATTTCAAGTTGGCAGCTTTGATAGCTTCTTGAATATTCTCTCTTGTTATCAACTGTTGGGTCTTGTTCTCCTCTCTTTCTAAATGCTGGAAAAGATGATTGTATGTTACCTATACCAGATGAATTGTTGGATCTGTTGTTTTGGACAGTATCTTGGTAAATTGACTGAATGGCTGCAACAGTCCAACCATATACTCTAGCTGCTTCCAGTCATGGTCCAATAAGTGAAGTCTTTGGTATTTTGGTGATGAGTTCTGGATCCATGAGTTCACAGCTTGTTGAAGCAACAAGACATGAACACACATCTCATAAGTGAAATTCCATCTTGTGCAAACATCTTGGATCATCTTGTGCTGGTTCTCTTGTTGATATTCTTGGAAATATGCAGTGAGTTGAGGGGAGGCATTGGTTGCATTGGCAACAAGATGAATCTATTGTCAAGCAAAGATTAGTAAATCAACTCAAGTATATCAAGACTGTTACCAAATTTTGTTACCTTTCTAAGAGTATTTGCAAATGTGTCTGTTGATGCTAGATCATCAGTAATTGAGCTCTCATCAAAGATAGTGGATAGAGCATCATTGTCTGGCTGAATCTTGAGATTGCAAACCAGCTCTTGAACCACAAGTTGAATCACATAAGCAAGACAGAGTATTGTCCCACTCTCTGCATTTCAATCAGTTGTCTTGTTCAACTGCTGCAATGCTGGCCTTAACTGATATATAAGATGTGCTTGCATGGTATCATTGTTTGACACATTGTTACTTGTAATTGCAAGAAGATTGCTCTCAAGTCTTCATGCTGCTAGTGATTGTTGGAGAATCTCTGCCATATTCTTGCCAGTATGAGCATCCTCTAAACTTTCAAAACCCAGTAAATGCTTATAGTACTCCCAATCCTTTGTAATGTAATAACCATTAATTGCCATAAAGACAAGGTTATTGGGACTTGTCCAATTATTTACTGCCAGAGATACCTTGGTTGTTGGGTCATGATTAAAGAGAAGATTTTGGAATAGCTGATTGTACATATCATTCATGATCTGATATAATGTTCCTTGTGTGAGTATCTGTAAAGCCATTGCAGAATTAAGCATGGTTATTAATGTGCAGAATGCTGGATTCTCAATAGCATGAAATGAGAGATTGAAGAATATTAATGTTTGCACAAGCTGCTGGAGAAAATTGTCTTGATTGCATTCAGGAACAGGCAGATCTGAATCTGTTTGAGAATGCTTTGAAAACTGTTACTAAGACACCAGAACTGTTACTAAAATTTATTACATTTGAGAAATTAGAATCCATGATCTACCATTATGTTAACCAGAGTGTTATTCTGTCCATTACCAGTTTTTGTACAATCTTTGCTTGTTAAATGCTTCTTCAGACCACTTGTACTGTTTTGAGAAAAGCTTGAATGGCTGAGAAAGGTTTGGCAATGCTTGCAAATCACCCCTGGAGTGCTTTTAGAATGCTCTGCCATCTGATCAAATTTTGACCAAAAATCAGAATGGCATTGCTTTGCCTTCCAGTTGGGGTCATCATGCTTCTTATTATTAATCAACTGAGCAGCTTCAGTAGTCAACCACCAAGTAACAAACAACTTATAATGCAGCTCCTTCCACAATACAAATTGTTTTTTTTCATGTTAAACTATGGTTAATTCTGAAGGAATCTCTGTAGATTTTGTTTGTTTGCTGGCTTCAGCCATTAGATTTTTCTTTTTTTTTTTTTTTTTTTCACAATCAAATTGATTTTTCTCTAAGTTCTGCCTTAGTCAAAAAAGTAACAAAATGTGGTCAGAGCCCACACAAAATTTGACAATCTCTAGATAGTTAGCCTCATTTTACTCTGTAAGTACAGCAACTAACTACAAAATCTTCTTCTTCTACAAAATGAAACATTCTTCTTCAGGAAAATAAAACATTTTGCCAATTTAATGGCACCCCATTCTCAAATTAATATGAAAAAAGAACTAAAAACCTAACTTCCTCCCCTAGATATCAATAATTCAATCATCCTCTGTCTCATTGTCCTCCTCATCATTCTTATTAGAGGACACCACAACCTCAAAATCATCTTTCTCCACCTTCTCTAGAGCAGATGAGCTGTTGTTGTCTTCACTCAGATTCTGTAATTGGCCCAGGAATCCTCTCATCTTCTTCTCAATTCTCTCTCTTGACACACTGACTGCAGCAAGATAATCATGACCATGGGCCATGATCTTGGCCTCAAGCCTGGCTATTATTTGGCAGAATTGGGCCTTCCTATATGCAGCAATAGGATGCTGTGCCTGGCTTGTTTTGGTCTAAATATGTCAGAACTGTTATTAAATTTTGTTACTTTTGGATTCTATCTTCTTTTTCTGCTGAACTTCATTCTCAGCCTCTGTGGCCTTTTCTTGATGATGCTTCTTCTCTTTCTCTCTCTTTTTCTGCTGAGAGACCATGAGCTGGTGCTCATGGTACTTCTTTGACTTGCTCTTGACAAATTGCTTGATCATCAACTCTTCAATAGCTTTATCTTCAATTGTCTTGTGATCCTTCTTGCTGCTATTCTGCCTGCAATGGATGTCAATATGATTTAACACAAACTACTGAGAGTGCATACTACTCATGTTTTGCTTGGATTCTCTTCAGCATGTCATGGCATGCCTTATGATCCACCTCTTCTGCCTTGAATATGTCTTTTTAATGGTCTTTCAAGGCCTGATGATGCTTCTGTGCTGTATGGGTCTTCTCTCTTATTGAATATTGTTTTGGCCTCATCTTCATGATTGTATGTGATGAGTTGAATTGCTGGCTACAGGATAATGAGATTATAGAGTATATTGACCAAGTACTTGCATAGAATGGTTACTATATATATTGTTTACATTCTACAGGCATGTTGCTATAGGCAAGCTCAATGCATTATTGCTATGCTGGCTACAGAATAATGGAATTATAGAGTGTATTGACCAAGTACTGTAGGATGGTTACTATACATATTGTTTACATTCTACAGGCATGTTGCTATAGGCAAGATCAATGTGTTGTTGCTATACTGGCTACAGAATAATAACATCAGGTCAGTCTCTCTTCTCTTCTCTTTCTCTTTCTCTTCTTCTTCTTTTTCTTCAGAGCTAATGTTAATGATTCCCCTCCCCCCCCTTCCTCTCCACCATCTTTTTATTTACTGTGCTTCAATGTCTGCATGTACAACAAACATATACTGTGACAAAATGGGTTGTATTAAGAGGTGAGTGCTTGCAGAATACTGCTCTGACACACATTATTTACTGACAAGATGTTAGTTTTCCCTGTGCACATCCATTTTGTACAGCTGGAGAGGAGTGGCACAAGACTGCATTGAAAGAATGGGCCCTGAAGAAGAGTAATTAATGTAAAGCTAATAAAGATATTGACCTGGCCAACTTTGACCAGGAGAATTCCTGCCCCCACCCCCCTGTTCAAAATTGGAAGGCTGGCACTTGTATGTCAAAAAGTAATGATTTTTGGTAACAGTCTTGATGCTAATTGATGAAAATAGATGCCATCAAGGAAATCTGCCACTTTCAGAGCTCTACTGAGCTAATCTTGCCAGTGGCCCTATTCCAGTGATTGGTTTGGAAAATTACTTTGTCCTGTCACCAAGAACATGAATATTGCTGGCAATGTACTGCCATTGAGTTACTTCAGAAGGTGACTGAAGTAATCTTGTGTGCTCTGTTTGAGTGTAAGTCATTCTTAGCAATGGCACCAACAATTATACTGAGTAATATAGGCTCTGTTATGGCAATGGCACACTGTAAGCACATTACAGTCAATACTGATGATATGAAGCTTGTTCTTGGCATCAGTACCAAAATTGGGTTGAACTATTTTGGCCTGATTGATGTGCCTGATTGCCCTGTCTCTGCTGCCACCACCTGCTGCCTGTGTGCTGCTTCTGCCTCACCAACTACTGCTGCTGCCTCCCTGCCTTTCTCTGGTGCCATCAGGGTCTCTGCCTGTCAAATGGTGAGTATTAGAGCCCCTGTCTGGTTCACAAAGCTGGTTCTGGAGGAGCAGAAGGAGAAGAAGGAGGAGGAGAAGGAGAGAGAGAAGAAGAATGATGATGATGATGAAGATGATGATAATGATAATTAACTTGCCATTTAGGCAGTTCCTGTTTGTTTGCTGGCTTCAGCTATTAGTTAGTTTTAATACTTTATTTCTTTTGACAATCAAATTAATTTTTCTATGGGTTCCGCCTTCATCAAAAAAGTAATGAAATTTGGTAATGGTCCACACAAAATTTGATCAGTTTGACTCTTCTCTATGAATTTGATATGATAGGACCAGGAATTCTGGTCCCATCCCAGTCCCACTATGGACCTGGCTGGAATGGGAAATGCAAGTCTACCATCTCTGCTGGGATGGGATGTGGGACATAATTTTCTATTTGAGGATGGGACCGGGAAATAATTTCTGGAATAGGGATGGGAACAGGACCTCAAGCTCTTGAGTGGGATGGGACATGGGACTGAGATTTCATATTTGGGATCCTGGCTGTTTCTAAATTTGGGATGGGGACCAGGTTCAATGGGAAATGGGATCCTGTCCCGGTCCCGAATACCAGCCTAAGATTTGGTGAAAGAATCAAAAGAATCTTCTTTATAAGTATGAAAAACTTTAAAACTCTGCTTTAAGAAAGGTTCTAGGAGCTTTTAAAACTTCTCCAATTTATACTATGGAGATTGAAGCTGCTATTCCTCCTGCTAAAGTAAGGTTTAATAGACTATGCAGAAACTATGCTTATAGATTATTAAAAATGCCAAAAGAACATGCAATTAGAAAAAGAGTATCTTCTAGCTTTCCATCTTATAATAATGGTGTTGATCTTGATTAGGAAAGGTTTTTAAATTGGAATCAATCAGAATTAAACAATGAATATGTTGTACAAACATCAACTAAAAGAAAAAGAAAAAGAAGAAAAATCAATAAACAAAAAAAGTATCTAAGTCAACTATTCAGAATTTGTTCAATGATTTCAAATATATTATCTTCTCTAAAAACAGAGAGAATTAAAGCAAAATGGAATGCACCTTGGTCTGAAAATCTAGCTGATTTGATAGATATTTAAATTGAAAATTCAGACAAGAAAACAGCTAAAGATAGTCACATAAATAAAATTAAAAATCTAGATAATAGATCTTTAATTCTCTACTCAGATGGATCCAAAGCTGAAGAAAGTTAATATGCTGGTGCTGGTGTATAAAATCTACAAGATAATATTAGATTTTCATAGAATCTAGGAAAATATCTTGAAGTCTTTGATGCAGAACTATTTGCTATAGATAAAGCATTTAAATTAGCAAGTTCTATCTCTCAGTCTCAATCAAGATCAATCTCAGATATCTGGGTGTTTTCTGATAGTCAAGCTGCTATTCAGAGACTTATGAATCAAGATCTTAATTCTGGCTTATATTATCTTCAATCTATAAGTAAAACTGCTAAGTTTTTTAAAAATCAGCAAATTAATCTACATCTTCATTGGGTTCCTGCACATGTAAATATACATAGAAATGAAGAAGCTGATCTAGCAGTAAAGAAAGCTACAGAATTGAATCAAGTTTGTTCTAAAAGATATATATCTCTTACTTATATAAAAAGACAAATAAAAGAACAAGCAATAATAAAGTGATTTGAAGATCTTTTTAATAGAGAAAGTTCTACAAATCACTACTCTCAATTCAAAATAAAACCCAGATGGAAAGCATCTACTCTTTCTATATCTAAGAAGATATGGTCAACTATTTGCCAATTAAAGCTTGGTCATGAATATTTCAGATCTTATCTAATAAGATTATCTGACTACTCTTTCAATTTATGCTATTTCTGTAATTGTGTTAAAAATCTAAAGCATCTACTATTAGACTGCTCAGCTTATTATACTGAAAGAAGAAAAATTTAATAAGAAGTTGATATTTCTCAACTATCTTTAAATTTTATTTTTGAAACTGAATTAGGCTTAAAATGGCTAGTTTTATTTCTGAAATGTACTGGAATAGCTACTAGACAGTGACTTTCTCAAGTATGCTAATTTTATTTCTTTTTGATTTATATCACATTGCTACAAGAATTATTATTTTCCTTTAAAATTAATATTATGCTCTATCTGCTATTCAACTTTTGTGGAGAAAGAACATCTTATATTGCCTTGAAATACTTTGAATTTTTTCCTTTATTCAGTTTTTACAATGTATACTAAGTAAATTCTAACAAAGAAGCTGTTAGGTAGTCTTTATAGTCACTAACTGCATAAGACTATAATAAATAATAATAATAATAATAATAATTAAATTCTCTTGCACTGGTTCTCTTGTTGATATTCTTAGAAACATGCAGCAAGTTGGAAAGAGATATTGGTTGCATTAGCAACAAGGTAAATCTATTGTTAAGCAAAGATTAGTAAATTAACTCAAGTATATCAAGATCATTATCAAATTTCATTATCTTTCTAAGAGTATTTGTAAATGTGTGCATTGATGCTAGATTATCAGTAATTAAGTTCTTATTAAAGATAGTAAATAAAGCATTATTGTCTGGCTGAATCTTGAGATTGCCAACCAGCTCTTGAACTACAACTTGAATCATATAAGCAAGACAGAATATTGTTTCACTGTCTGTATTTCAATTAGTTATCTTGCTCAACTGCTGTAATGCTGGCCTCAACTGATGTATAAGATGTGCTTATATAATATTATTTTTTGATGCATTGTTACTTGTAATTATAAGAAGATTGCTCTCAAGTCTTCATGCTGCTAATAATTATTGAAAAATCTCTGTTATATTCTTATCAGTATAAGTACTCTTTAAACTTTCAAAACTCAGTAAATGCTTACAGTACTTTCAATTCTTTGTAATATAATAATCATTAATTACCATAAAGATAAGATTATTGGGACTTGTCTAATTATCTATTACTAGAGATATCTTGGTTGTTGAGTCATGGTTAAAGAAAAGATTTCAGAATAGCTGATTGTATATATTATTTATAATCTGATATAATGTTCCTCATGTGAGTATCTGTAATGCCATTACAGAGTTGAGCATGGTTATTAATATGTGGAATACTGGATTCTCAATAGCACAAAATGAGAGATTCAAGAATATTAATATTTACACAAGCTGCTGAAGAAAATTATGTTAACTGTATTCAGGGACAGGCAGATCTGAATTTGTTTAAGAATACTTCAGAAACTATTGCTAAGACACCAAGATCATTACTAAAATTCATTACATTTGGGAAATTAAAATCTATAATCTATTATTATGTTAACCAGAGTGTTACTTTGTTCATTACTAGTTTTTGTACAGTCTTTGCTGGTTAAACACTTCTTCAGACCACTTGTACTATTTCAAGAAAAGCTTGAATAACTAAGAAAGATTTGGCAATGCTTGCAAATTATTTCTGAAATACTCTTAAAATACTTTGTTATCTGATCAAATTTTGGCCAAAAATCAGAATAGTATTGCTTTATCTTTTAGTTAGAGTCACCACACTTCTTATTCTTAATCAACTAAGCCGCTTCAGTAGTTAACTATCAAGTAATAAACAACTTGTGATGCTGCTTCTTTCATAATATAAATTGTTTTTTTCTATATTAAACTATAGTTAATTCTGAAGAAACTTTTGTAGATTTTGCTTGTTTACTGGCTTCAGTTATTAATTAGGTTTTTTTTTTATAATCAAATTGATTTTTCTCTGAGTTCTGTCTTAGTTAAAAAAGTAACAAAATTTGGTAATAGTTCAAGCAAAATTTAATAACTCAGCTTGTTAGACTTATTCTACTCTGCATAGTAATCAACTACAAAATTATCATCTACAAAATGAAATATTCTTCTTCAGAAAAATAAAATATTTTGCTAATTTAATGGCACCCCATTCTCAAATTAATATAAAAAAAGAACTAAAAATCTAACTTTCTTCTCTAGATATCAACAATCCAATCATTATTCATCTTATTATTCTTCTTATTGTTCTTATCAGAGAACATTATAATCTCAAAATTATCTTTCTCTATCTTTTCTGAAGCAGGTGAGCTGTTATTGTCTTTTATCAGACTTTGTAATTAGCTCAGAAATTCTCTTATCTTCTTCTTAATTCTCTTTCTTAATATACTGACTGCAGCAAGATAATCATAATCATAAGTCATAATCTTGATCTCAAGCTTAGCTATTATTTGACAGAATCAGATCTGTTTATATGTAGCAATAAAATACTGTATCTGGCTTGTTTTGATCTAAATATGTCAGAATTATTATCAAATTTTATTACTTTTGAATTCTATGTTCTTGTTCTGCTGAGCTTTATTCTTAGTCTCTACAGTCTCTTCTCAGCAATACTTCTTCTTCTTCTTTCTCTTTTTTTGCTGAGAGATCATGAGCTGGTGCTTATGATACTTCTTTGACTTGCTCTTGATAAATCACTTGATTATTAGCTGTTCAATAACTTTATTCTCAATCATTTTATGATTCTTCTCACTGCTATTTTGCCTGCAATGGATGTCAATATGATTTAACACAAATCACTAAGAATGCATACTACTTATATTTGGCTCAGATTCTCTTCAGCACATTATAATGTGTCTTGTAATCTATCTCTCCTATCTTAAATATATCTTTTTGATGATCTTTCAAGATCTAGTAATACTTCTATACCACACAGATCTTCTCTCTTATTAAATATTGCTTTGGCCCCATCTTCACAATTGTATGTGATGAGTTGAATTAAAGACACTGTGTGATGAAATTATAAAGTGTATCAACTACTTGTATAGAATGATTACTATATATATTGTTTACATTCTACAGGCACATTGCTATAGACAAGCTTAATATATTGTTGCTATACTGGCTACAGAATAATAAGAATATAGAGTGTATTGATCAAGTACTTGTGTAGAATGATTACTATATATATTATTTACATTCTACAGACATATTGCTATAGGCAAGCTCAACACATTGTTGCTATACTGCTGCAGAATAATAACATAAGATTAGTCTCTCTTCTTTTCTCTTTCTCTTTCTCTTCTTCTTTTTTCTCTTCAGAACTAATATTAATGATTTTCTTCTCTTCTTCAGATCTCTCTTTTTATTTACTGCTCTTCAATATCTCTCTGTACAACAAACTATACTGTGACAATAAGTTGTGTTAAGAGATAAGTGCTTGCAGAATTCTGCTCTGGCACACATTGTTTACTAACAAGATATTAGTTTTCTCTGTGTACATTCATTTTGCACAGTCAGAGAGAAGCAGCACAAGACCACATTAAAAGAATAAGCTCTGAAGAAGAGCAATTGATGTAAAGCTAATAAAGATATTGATCTAACTAACTTTAACTAGAAGAATCTCCACCTCCACTCTCTGATTTATAATTGAAAGTCCAGCACTCATATGTCAAAAAGTAATAATTTTTGGTAACAATCTTGATGCTAATTAATAAAATAGATGCCATTAAAGAAATCCACCACTTCTAGAGCTCTACAGAGCTAATTCTCTCAGTAATCTTATTTCAGTAATTAATTCAGAAAATTACTTTATTCTGTTATCAAGAACATGAATATTACTGGCAATATACTGTTATTCAGTTACTTTAGAAGACTGCTGAAGCAATCTTGTGCACTCTGTTTGAGTGTAAGTTATTATTAACAATAGCATCAACAATTATACTAAGTAATATAGACTCTGTTATAGCAATGGCATACTATAAGTACATTACAGTCAACACCAACAACATAAAGCTTATTCTTGGCATCAGTGCCATAACCAGATTAAACTATTTCAGCCCAATTGATGTATCTGATTATCTTATTTCTGCTGCCCCCATCTCTGCTGCTATCATCTACCACCTGCATTCTGCTTCTGCCTCACCAACTACTTCTGCCACTGCTCCACCATCACTGCCACCATCCACCATCATCTCTCTGTCTCCCTCTAGCACTAACAGAATCTCTGCCTGTCAAATGACAGATATTAGAGCCTTTGTCCAGTTCACAAAGCCAGTTCTGGAGGAGCAGGAGAAGAAGAAGAAGAAGAAGAAGAAGAAGAAGAAGAAGAAAGAGAAGAAGAAGAAGAGAGAGAAGAAGAAAAAGAAAGAGAATAATAATAATAACAAGAATAACAATAATAATAAGAATAATAATGATAACAAGAATAATGAATTTATTATTTAGACAGTTCCTGATTGTTTGCTGACTTTGATCATTACTTAGTTTTAATACTTTGTTTTTTTCTTTAACAATGAAATTGATTTTTCTAAGAGTTCCATCTTTATCAAAAAAGTAACAAAATTTGGTAACAGTCCACACAAAATTTGACCAGTTTGACTCTTGACACAATAAGACCAGAAAACCCAGTTCCATTCTGATCTCACTATAGACCCAGCCAGAATAAGAAATGGAAGCCTATCTTCTCTGCTGGAATAAGATATGGGACATAATTTTCTATTTGAGAACAGGACTGAGAAATAATTTATGGGATAGTAATGAGAACAGGACTGAGAAATAATTTATGGGATAGTAATGAGAACAGGATCTCAAGCTCTTGAGTAGAATAAGACATGGGACTGAGATTTCATGTTTGGGATCCTGGCTGTTTCTAAATTCAGAACCAGGACCAGCTTCAATGGGAAATGGGATCTTATTCTGGTCCTGAATACCAGCCTAACACAAATTCAATGTTTATTTCTTTCTTTATTGATGTTTTGAAAGATTTACAGTCTTCCATTTTATATTCAGTTAGTAGATTCTCAATACACTGTTTCTGATTTACAAAAAAATCTCTATTTAGCTGCTTTTGAACCTGCATGTCTAGATAATGATCTTGTTCTGTAATCTTCTTGGTCTTGAAGTGTTTCTGAAGCTTCTCAATAAGCCATTCTATTTTGGCTTTGTTGGGTCCCATTATATGGCAGTTATTGATATGTAGAGTTAGGTAGATTTGCTTTCTCTTGTGGTAGAGTAACTCTGTATTATATGGAGAGATCTGAAATTCTAGAGATTTCAGATAGTCAGTAGCTGCTTGATACCAAAGTCTAGCAGCTTGCTTTAATCTGTAGAGTTCCTGATGTAAGAGCTCTACTAGATTATCCCATCTGTGCTTGAATCCAGTGGATAGTTGAATGTATATATATTTATTCTCTGGAAGAGTTTCATTTAGAAAAGCTGTTATGAAGTCAAAGACTCTAATCTTCCAGTTCTTAACTATTGAGATGGCAAAGAAGGCTCTTGTTGTAGATTTACTAACAACTGCTGTGTAGATCTTCTTATAGTGAACATCTTCTTGCTGTTTGAATCTGTGTATAACTTAATAAACTTTGAATTGTACTGTGCTATCTGTATTGTTGAGCTTTTTATTAAATACTCATTTGCCAGAGAGAATCTGCATTTAAGATTTCTTCTCAACTAGAATTCAGATATCTTTCTCTTGTAATTTGGAGGTTTCAATATCTAGAGTCTTCTTTTAATAAAGCCACTCTTGAGAGTGTTTGACTTTGGTGATGGATTTTGGTGTGTCTGTATGTGTGCTGAGCACTGGAAGCTCAGCTTTATTTATCTTTTCTTTCTCTGTAGTATTCAAGAGAATTTCTTGCTCTTCATCCAGGTATGTAAGCTCTAAAGTCTTTAATTTACTGTCTGCAAGCTTCTTCATAATTTCTGGCTTCTTCTTTACAAGATAAGCTAGTAGCTTGTGTTGCCAGCTGTTTAACAAATCTATGTAATTATACTTCTTCAGAAGTTCAACATATTTGGCTTCAGTTAGCAAATTTGTAGAGATTTGATCCAATTTCTTGTTGAATATAACATCTCACAAGATTATTATACTGTTTATTTCTGGGTCTCAAAGTCTGTAAGTGTGCATGCCATAATATTTTATAAAGTTGATCTTCTTGAACCTAGATTAGAGCTTTAAGAATTTATTTAAAATCTTTATGTAGATGTCACATTTCTACCTATAGACTCATCTACAATAGGGTTGGTGATCTGTTTAGACTTTAAAGAGTATTAATGACTTCATGTTCTTGCATCTGTATAGAGACACTGAGATAGACAATAGATTTACTATTATGAAGACTGTAGTGAGAGCTTTGCTCTATAACTTATTAAGTAGTTCTGAGTCTATAAGTATGCTTCTTGTATGCTTCCAAAGAAGTTATATTTCTTGTTCACTTGTTCCATCTTGTTAAGATGTATATGGGCATGTAATCTTCTGTTGTATACTCTTGCTTCTGTAGAATTCAGTCAGTTGTTGACTTGTTAATTCAGAAGCTTCATTAAACAGTATAGTATCAATCTTTTGTTTGATAGATACTTTGATTATGTTAATTCAGTTCTTCAGAGTTTCTAGAGCTTCTACCCACTTCTTCAGAAGATAGATTTATCTGTATTATGTGGTATTGTCTGTTATAAGTAGAAAATACTTCACTTCACTGTAGCTTGAAGAATTAAAGTCTGTAAGTAAAGTACAGCTGCCATCTGCAATATTAATAAAAATTTTAGCTCCAGACTTTGTAGAGTGTATTCTAGATTTGAATGGGTTGTGAGCTTGCTTAGCTTTAGTACAGGTTTTACAGAACTCTAGCTTCTTTACTCTCTTTATTTGCATTGCTATTCTCAGATCTCTAGCTAAAATAGCTATATTGTAGGCATTGAGATGTCTCTAGTGTTTGTGCTAATTGGCCATTGTATCCTTCTTGATTTCTGGTGTCTTTGCCAGGTGATTTGGTGCTAAAAGTATGTCATCTCTATCTTTATTCTCTAGAGTTGCTGTTACATAGGAGGGCTCTAGAAGTTTTATAGGTACTGGAAATGTGTATGCCAGTAAATTGTGTATTCTAGGTATTTGTAGAACTAGAATATTATTCTTGTTAAGCATGGCTTTCAAGCTCTGTGTTTTATCTGCTAATTCTAGTAAGAAGATGTGTTCTCTGTTGACATAAAGCTGTTCTACTGTAAAGCTGTCTTGTATAAGCTTTCTAAAGCTTATAAGATTAATCTGGAGGTCAGACATGATTCTAACCCCTCTAATACTTAATTCACTATTGTTAGTTTGGATACTAATCATGCTAAATTCTCTGGTGACTGATTTTAAACTGTTCACTATAAGCAGTTGTGTTGCATAGCTCTTTAAGTTCATTTAAACTAGATTCATACATGAGATTATATGAGATCCAGCTTCAGAGTCAAGAATTTATTTGTCTGTGGGTTCACATGCTTCTTTTATAGAGAAGACTGCTTTGTAAACTGAATAGATCTTGTCTGTTGTAACTATAGTTATTTTCTTATCTTTATCTTTAAAGTCTTTCTTAAACTTGTTAAGCTTCAAATTCTTGTTAGATTTGCAAAATTTAGCTAAATGGCCAGATTTACTATAAGTATAGCAGTTTCAGTTCTGCAGTGAGCTCTTCTCTAAATTAAATTCAGAGTTTGTATTCTTGTAAGATTTTTGAGAATCTGAGCTTATTATATTTACATTTGGCTTTGTAAATCTGTCTCTCTTCTGATCTTTCTTGAGAATTTAGTGAAGAATATTCTTCAGTAGACTTTCTAAATTCTTCTCTGATAGATTTATTCTGCTCTGGTATGCTATATTAAATTAGTTCTGTATGAACTCTCTCCATCAGAATATAATATTCATCTTCAAGATATTGTATAGAGTGTGGTCTAGTTGTTTGAACTCTAATCTCTTAAATTCTTTATAAATTACTAGAAATATCTTTATATAATTTCTTTCTGAGCCAATAAATTGTGATGTCATTCTTACTAACTCTGTAAGTAGACTTTCCCACTATATCTCAGATCTCTCTTGAAAGACTGTTCTTACAGCTTTTCAGAGTTTATAAGTACTAAGACTATTTAATTTCTTAAAATGTTCTCTGGCTTGTGCAGATATTATACTGTTAATTAGACTGTATAGTTAATTATTCTGAATATTTTAGTATTGTGAAATCTTTAAGTACTCTAGCTGTAGTAAAGTCTTTTGTCTTTCTAGAATAATCTTCTCAACATCTACTTAACAGACTACTTTTAGAATGGCTTTACTTTATACTAGATAGTTACTGGCTTCAGCCAGAATTATAAACTTCTTTACTGTCTTTATAATCTTTGTGAATTAAGTGATTGCTCTGCTAATTCATATATTTGTATCTATAAGCTTACTAATATATTCTTCTAGTTTCTTATTAAAGTTTATTTCTTAATTCTTGTCTTCTTCTTGTTAAGCTTTATGCTCTAGATTCTCCTACATTATTGCAGATGTATTTGCAGTGCTTGCTTGATCTGATAGAAGATTTACTTGCTGTGCTAGCTATTATACTATCTTCTGTTATCTTTATATTAACTTCTGTTACTTTTGTATTATCTTCTGTTGATTTAGCATCATTCTGCATAATATTTGAAGTTTACTCTTCTCTCTAGACTCCTGCTGATTATTTGATGGGCTGTCTCTGAGCCTACTTAATTATCTAAGCTTGATTTAAAGTGTAGAGAGATTTATTAAAGTCTTCTAGTTAGAAGTTTAATACTTCAGTTTGTCTGTATAATTCATCATGGCTTTGATATTGCCAGGGGCTTGATTTGCTTGCTAGATGTGTTTAGCAGGTGTTTTACTCACTTTCCAATTAGATGCCAGAAAGCTACAGAGTTCAACTTACTCTTCAGCTCAGTACTAGAAAGCTACAGAGATTATATATATAAAAGATATCTATCTTAATATATGCTCTCTCTTGTGCTTGTAAAATTTTATTATTTATAAGAATAACTGTTCAGAATATTGATTATAAGCTTCAATATCCAATTAAGCTGTAAATCAATCTTATATACTTGCTCTTCAGCACAAAGGACTATAATCTGATGGAGAACTTGTATGCTTGTCATTTACCAAGCTACCTAAAGGGGAATCTCAGCTAATCTATGTGGGTCATGTGAGCGAGGTGCTAGTTAGATTACCTAATACAACCACCAACTCAGCCTACTCAGGAAGCAACGGCGTGTAAATTCATTTAGTTCATGCACATTCAGTGTTTGGTTGCCTAAAACTAGATACAAGTACAGGATATCATTGACTTAAGATAACTAACCACCGACATTCAAAGTCCAGCTGGGCTTGGAGTGTTACAAAATTCATGCATGCAAGACAGGCAGAAATGTGGAAATCTATTTCACCAAGGAAATGG